AAAAATGTCCTTTTAAAAATAATGTTAGTTCTTCTGTCAACACTTGGCTCCATGATGATGTTCTTGTGACGTTACCGTTACGTAACACTAACAGGAGGACAATCAATGCCAGAGCTGAAGGAGTCTGCTCACGGAGGTCAGTCAACTGTTCATTACTGCTGTCTCCCCGGTTCTGTTTAGTTCAGTGGAAACGATGACATCATCTATGTGAGGTGAGTGTGAGAGGAGTGAAGTGAATGCTTGATGTGTTTGAAGAGAGAAGGGTGGGGAGAAAGAGCAGAAATGCAGATGAGCAAAAAGCAAAGTGTGGACACTGCAGAAAGAGTGAGTGTGAAGACAATCATGTAGAAAGATGTAAGGAAGGTTTAAACTCTGTATAAAGGATTTCAGAAGTTCCACTTCCTCTTCATTTGCTATAAGTGCTGAAGTTCTGCACAGACATGATGCATCAGAAGACAAAGTCAGCAATGAAACGAGGTGGAAAAACTAGGAAAATGTGGCCAAAGGGTCATAAGGGCACACTCTTAAAAAGATGGCTCTACAAGGGTTCTTTAGTAAAGGCAATGGTTCTATATAGATCCAAGAACACTCAAATAACCATTTGCATACTTAAAGGGTTCTTTGCGTGGTGAAATTGTTCTTCAGATTGATGGAGAATGTGTGCTGTTGGAACAAAACCTTGCATCTCCATTTTTGCCGTTTTTCAGTTTTTGTCATAATCTGAAAATGCCTGTTACTCTCTACACTGTGTGTTAATTTCATGTCAGATGGAGCAAAAGAAACGGCCCAAAATTAATTGGACAAAAATCTGGTTCCATTGACTTACATTAAAAGTAAGGTAAGTTTTTCCTTCTCCTGTAAAGTCATCATTTTGGACCTACAAGGTTTTGTTACGACAACAGCAATATAGATCTATATAGCACCAAATAGGGTTCTGCTACTGTTACAAGCTTAACATCATATCAATGGAAGAACACTTTTTGGTGCTATATAGGACCGTTTTCAAAATGGTTCCATATAGAACCATGAACACTCATAAAACATCTGCACGCTTCATGGTGAAATGGTTCTTCAAATTGATGGAGAATGTGTTCTATATTGCTGCTGTTGAAACAAAACCTCATATCTCCATTTTTATCATTTTTCAGTTTTTGTCAGTTACTCTTTACACTGTGTGTTAATTTCATGTCAAATGGACAAAGAGAAATGGCCCAAAATGGTCTGGAAAAAAGTCTGGTTCCATTGACTTACATTAAAAGTAAGGTAGGTTTTTTCCTTCTCCTGCAAAGTCATCATTTTGGAGCTACAAGGTTTTGTTATGACAACAGCAATATGGTTCTGTACAGCACAAAAAGGGTTCTGCTACTGTTACAAGCTTGACATTGTAACAGTAGAAGAACACGTTTTGGTGCTATATAGGACCCTTTTCAAAATGGTTCCATATAGAACAATGAACATTCAACCATTTGCATGCTTAAATGGTTCTTTGCATGGTGAAATGGTTCTTCAGATTGATAGAGAATGTGTTGTATACGGTTCTGTATAGCTCCAAAAAGGGTTCTGCTACGTAACAATAGAAGAACACGTTTTGGTGCTATATAGGACCAAATGGTTCCATACAGAACCACAAACACTCAAACAACCATTTGCATGCTTAAATGGTTCTTTGCGTGGTGAAATAGTTCTTCAGATTGGAGAATGTGTTGTATATGGTTCTGTATAGCACCAAAAAGGGTTCTGCTACTGTTACAAACTTTACATTGTAACAATAGAAGAACACTTTTTGGTGCTATTTAGGACCATTTTCAAAATGGTTCTATATAGAACCATGCATAACACATTCTCCATCAACTTGAAAAACCATTTCACGGTACAAAGAATCCATTTAAGCATGCGAATGGTTTTTGAGTGCTCATGGTTCTATATTAAATATTCTATTTACTAAGAACCCTTGAAGAACCTTTTTAAGAGTGCATGACTGACTGACTGAATGAACGAATGCTTGTTATGCATTGAATGAACAGTTTGTCCTAATGAGCCATTGTAATCAACAACTAACGAAAGCTTACAGAGCAAATAAGCTCTACTAATGCAATTATGCTTAATGCTGTAAATAAAGAGTGAATCAGGAGCGGCATAGCTCGCCGGCCCTTTTCATTACATTTCACTGAGTAGTGAAGCTGCAGCATTTAATTTTTTATCTAAGGCTAACAATTTATTTGGAGTGGTCCTTTGTAGATGATTAATAAACTCTTAACAGATTATCAGTAACACATCAACAACATATCAGTGAAGTAGCAGTAGTGAAGAATCTGAATACACTGAAGTAAATATCTTGTAGATGTTCTGTTGATACATTACTTACATTAAGTAGATGTGTTGTTAATATGTTACTTCCATTACACAAAACTTAACCTTACCAACCTTACCCAACACCTAACCCTAATCCTGGCCCTAATCCTAACCTTAACCTTAATCTCAACCCAAAACCTAATCAAAACCCAATGTTTTGTAGAGACCACTCAAAATAAAGAGTCACCAATGACAGACATACAAAACTGAGATCATCATATTCTCTACCAGCAAACCACACCTGCGTAATTACAGTCATTAGAATGATTACTTATTCAGCGAGAGTGAATTAAAAGTGACAGGCAGAAAGCAAAAGAGGGGACACAACTAAGAATATTAGAATGAAGAGGGGAGAGGATGAAAGAGCAAAAGGCTAAGAGAGCAAAACAGAAGAAAAGAGAAAGAACAAGACTGAGAATAAGGACGAAAAGCAGAGCAAGATCAAGAGACTCGGAGAGAAACCGAGATGGAGAGCGAGAGAAAGTGGGGGTGCAGAACAGGAGAGCCCTCTTGGTGCCGGTGATGGCCCTCTACGGTCTTGTCTTGGTTCCCAGCGCCATCATTTAGACTTCTATTTGAGACATTCCACAATAAAGATGTCAAATAGAGAGCGAGCCCATCGCCTCTGGGGAAACAGCCTGGAGTCATTCCAGGAAGACCCACAGCCAAGATAACCAAGAACTTACTGAGAGAGAGTGCAGAGATAGGAGGGGAGGAAAGGGGGAAAAGAGAAAATGAGGGAGAAAGACAGAAGCGCGGTCCACGAGAGGGATAGAGAGAGAAAAAGAGTGGAAAAACAACAAAAAAAGTGAGATTAAAGATATAAAATGCAGGGACAGAAGGCAATGAGCGGATGAAGTAAAGGAAAGCGGCAAAGCAACACAAAAAAGAGCTTGAGAGAAAAAGAGAAGGACACTGAGAGAGAGAGAGAGCAGATGTAGCAGGCAGAGTTAAGGTAGCTGGAATAGGGACGTGATGAAGGGCCGTACTGAGCCGTCCTACTTCGGTATCCATCATCATTATTGTGTTCTAATGAAAAATGATGAGGTCAGCATCCTGAAACTCAATCACGCCGCCAGTCCTGCTCCAGTATTTGCTTTGGATTCCACAAGCAGGGAGGAGAGGAGGAGAGACAGAGCAGCCCAACTCTTCTCCTCCTCCGCCAAGCTAGTCAGGCACTGTCCTCCAACTCTGCTCCCTCCTCTCTCTTTCTCTGCCTCTCCTTTTTCACACTGGGTGGATGGAGAGAGGCTATTATAATTTACATCTTCACACACATTTCACCAAGACACCGCAGCGCAGAACCACACCACAGCTTGACAAGTCCCCTTCAAACCAGCAACACAACATCTGCATTCACTTACAGTACAAACACAGACGAACATGTCGAAGATCTGCTGCATGAAAAAAAAAACAAAACAAAAAAAGCACACTTCTCACCAGATTCCTGAACCCCTACGGCAAGGCCCCGAAAACCATTAAACCAGCCCTGCCTCTCAGGGTCATGGAATTTCATCTTTGAACTATTTCAATAAATACGAAACGCTGAGTTATTAATTTTCTCTTTGACTTCTCTTTACTCCGGCCATGTTAACCGCTAACATAAACATCCACTGTGCCAGCTGGATTCTGGGAATTGGTTGTGATTGTGCCACTGGTGACTTGAAAGGTGACGTTTTAAAGAGATGAAAATAATCAAGGGGGTTCTTGCCAGGCGACTCCTGTCCGGATGGCTAGAACGAGGGCGCTGGGCTAGACACTGCACTTCCCAGAGTGCACAGAGGCGCGTTTGTTTATGTTTATGGAAGGGTGCTTACAGAGGTCACTTGGCAAAGAGAAGAGGAGAGGCAAACTCTTGAAGAGAAAGCGGACTAGAGACAACCTAGCTGTGGCTAGAAGAAGAGTAATAACCAGTGTGTGGTGGTGGAGGTGTGTATATACACTGATCAGGCATAACATTATGACCACCTCCTTGTTTCTACACTCACTGTCCATTTTATCAGCTCAACTTACTATATAGGTGCACTTTGTCGTTCTACAATTACAGCGTCCTGTGGGCAGCGTCCTGTGGGCAGCGTCCTGTGGGCAGCGTCCTGTGACCACTGATGAAAGACTAGAGGATGACCAACACAAACTGTGCAGCAGCAGATGAGCTATCGTCTCTGACTTTACATCTACAAGGTGGACTGACAAGGTAGGAGTGTCTAATAGAGTGGACAGTGAGTGGACACAGTGTTTAAAAACTCCAGCAGCACTGCTGTGTCTGATCCACTCGTACCAGCACAACATACATTAACACACCACCACCACGTCAGTGTTACTGCAGTGCTGAGAATGATCCACCACCCAAATAGTACCTGCTCTGTGAGGGTCCATGGGGGTCCTGACCACTGAAGAACAGGGTAAAAGGGGGCTAAAACAGTATGCGGAGAAACAGATGGACTACAGTCTGTAACTGTAGAACTACAAAGTGCACCTATATAGTAAGTGGAGCTGATAAAATGGACAATGAGCGTAGAAACAAGGAGGTGGTCATCATGTTATGCCTGATCGGTGTATGTGTGTGTTAGGCGCATGCATCTAGATGTGCACCTGTGTGCGTGTATCTGCTGTGGAGTGCTACATTCAGACACTCCTGATGAGCTTACCTAGACAGTTGTGTCCGTCATCTGCCAGCATGAAGCCGTCGTAGCATGTGCACCTGTAGTTGCCAGGGATGTTGATGCAGTCATGCACGCAGCCACCATTGTAGTCGTTATCACACTCGTCTATATCTAAACAGAATAAACACACAAAATATAAACACTTAAAATTCTCATTCAGGGAAGTGATAAAAGCAAGCTGAATGTCATGAGACAAAGACCTGTGATGTAACAGTATTGCAGACTGATACCAAAAGACTAATCACACTCACATATTCAGCCCAGTAATAGAGGTCTGAACACACTCTCATCACCGTCGGAGTGCCATTTTTGGCTGTTTTGGAGGAGAAAGCGCTGTTGGAGTACACAGACTTGTCAAACTACGAGCCAACTCATCCCTAAAGAATCCATAAACATGCTTTTGAGCTTTGTGCTTTGGTTTGTGTGTTTAGATGGGACTTCCAGAGCAAATCAAATGCATTGTCCTTAATACGCTTCAGTCCTTCAGAGAAACACAGCAGTGGGATAGAGTGAAAGGGTGAGAGAAAAAGAGGGATTTTCATAAAGACAATTCTCCAAAAGCTTAATGTGGAAGAAGTTAGGTGGTGATAGAAAAGACAGGCAGGTCCACTCCTGCTCAGAAGCCCCATAAGGCTCTTGATTTTGAGACTAAACCGCAAGAGAAGGGACTGAAAAAAACTCTGAGCACAAAGCAGAGGCTGGCCTCACAGGTGAGAGTTAAGAGTGAGTGTGCAAGCTGTTAAGAGTGTGAGGGGCACAGTACAAGAAGTGCGGAGGAGGGGGTCATTAGCGGAGTGGACGGCTAGTTAGCCTCCAGCTGACACACTTCCTGCCCCAGAGCTGTTGTTGACATCAGCCAGCGGCAAGCCGACAGCTTCAGGCTAAAGCTGTTTCCGCTCTAACACACACCGAAACAGTCACGCACACACACAGTCACCCTCCAATCTCAGGTGAAGTGTTCACACTCAACATCCCATCGGGCAGATTAGGCACCTCCACCGACACCTCAGCAGGAGTGGGGTCAGCGGGGGGCAACGCCTCGCACGCCCCCTGCTTGCCCCTTAACCCACTGACACCCCCTCCGCCCTCCATCCAAAACTAGAAACACGCCGCGCCGAGAGGCCGAAGGGTCTCGACACCCTGCTAAGAATCAGCAGGACTCAAAAAGCCGAGTGAACAAACTCTCGCACCTCCCTAATGCGAGGCTCCAAGTAAAAGGTCTTTTCCTACTCTTTTTCACCCCCCTATCCGTGTTCAGGGATGATTAGTGGTGACTGGGCCTGCTGTTCGAACAGCTGCAGGCTACGAAGCATGATGCGTTTCTCAACGATCGGAGCGACGGGTTGCCTCCAAGCACTTTCTCCACTGCCTTTCTCTCAGGTCATCGCCTTGTCATATTCTAACTTCACACTCTCCTTCTATTTCCATCTCCTCTATGCCTCCTCCTGTTCGGAGCCCTTTAGAACATCAAGGCCTTTAATGTGTGCCTAGAGGTTTTTCCCGACCACTGTCCTGGCTGCGGCTGTGCAGGCCAGGCCTCAGAGCGTATTGGTTCTGTGGAGATATTCCTCTCTCCTATGTCAAAATGCAGATCTGTTCTCTAGCAAAATTCAAGAGTGGGGTGTGATACCTCTATGTCTCTCTGCCACTGTGGTGTGGATAATGGAGGTGTGGGAGCACTGCTATGATTCTGCACAAGCTGGAGTATGAATGTGTATAGGTGGGATTTCTGTGGCTGGGTTTTGTGTACGTGTGATGGCGAGTGTGTGTGTGTGATGCTGTGTGTAGAACTATATAAAGCAGCACAGACAGACTGACCTGCTCTGGAAGGAGGGGGGGTTAGTAACGAAGGGTGGTTACACCCAGCCAGCCAGTCAGAGCAGGAGCAGCACTGTGACGAACAAGCAGACACCAGGCAGACAATGGCCTACTAATAGTCTGACACCTCTCTCTCTCTCTCTCTCTCTCTCTCTCTCTTTCTCTCTGTCTCAGTCTTGCTCTTCCCTTCCCTACATCTTTCTCACACACATACACACATTCAGCAGAGACTAGGACATGCCTGCAGCACCGACAACTGCCTGACCTGTTTCACAGACAGATAAAAACAGAATGGAAACTTCCAAGGGCCTAACACAGCAAGCTTAAGGTCCATTAACACTGAGATACATTACTGTGAAAAGTTGCGTGTGATGTATGCAACAGGTTGACAACAATCAAGACCTGAGAGTGATTCTTGAGTCTGTAGTCGCTCCTATAGATCTATCAATGTTCAATAAACACCACACAATCTTTGACAGGGTCTCCAAGTCAACCCTGGATTCTCCATATCCCATTCTCTTAATGTAATGCCTCTTCAGTTTTGACATGAAGATAAATAAAACAACTGCACAGCTGATGAAGAAAGACCACACTGTGCTGGACATTCACTTACATGGTTAACCCCTAACCAGGCCAGGCCCAAAGTTTCACTTCACACTTCTATAACCTAAGAAAAGCTCTATAAGTTCGCACTGAAGACTCTGTAGTTACTGAAAAATAATACGCCTGGAATGTTAAGGGGTTCATGTGTAGCATCTATATATAAACCTTTATACAGACAATACAAAGTCAGCATCAGATGTAACAGCATACCCTTCAGACCCCCACAGACATCCAGTTACTGGTGACAAGAGCAAGAAAAGTTCACATTTTTCCAATGCCTGAGAGAGCATGAGTAAGAGAGAGTGATGGAAAAATCTACATAGTCCCATTAACAAACGTAATATCGCATTACAGCAAGGAGAAGCCAGCTAAATAAATGTGCCCCTTTCACTGAGCGTAGACGTTCGCTGAGAGCCTGAGGCCTGGAGGCCATGAAAATACAGTTTTAATCACCTACTGTTACTGAACAATCTGTCAGAAGTGTGGATTAAATGCTGCGCTGTTCAGTGTCTTTAGAAGCTGCATGGTTGCCGACAACAGCAATGTTCTGTTTATTGATGTTACTGCACTTTTAGTCATTTCAGTCACTAATCATGGTTTCCATTCGAAGGGAAAAAAGGAAACAGCACAAAGGGCTACAAACTTTGCGACAGGGGTAATGGTGTGTGGAGACTTGTCATCTAAAATAAGTGCCAAAACGGAGCATAAATTGCATGCAATGCGTTTGTGTCTGCTTGTCAAACATGATGCCCAGCTCTGGATCCTCACCAGACGTCTGTGGACTATCACAGGCCTCTCCTTAGAGTCTCAGCCACCACATTCTTGGCCACAAAAGCCAAGCCGTACCGTGACTTCCTACTGCTAATCAACACCAAAGCGTCTGAGAGCTAGTTCTTTACGTTCATAAACTTTAGAGTCTGCCAGCTGGCTACAAGCAGAGGACATCACAATGTAAACAGACGATATGACAGAGTAAGAGTAAGCCAAGCCCTCTGAGTAGCTCTCTTAATTTCCTGCAAAGCCAAACACGGAGGGCTTTAATTAGAGACTAGGGTCTTGGTAATGGGCTCTCTGCTTCAGACAGCGCGGCCCCCTCCCACCCACTACACACCAGCCTCCACTGTGGACAGTATGCCCACTCACACTAGGAAAGGGAGGGATGGAAGAGACAGAGATACATACGAAGAAAGACCTGCGTAAAGACAAAGACGAGAGAAACGGACAGAAACACACACACACTTAAACAAATACGCAAACCAAAGTAGGTCCCCACTGCACACGCTGCAGAATATATCCCCACCTCTGCTTCTGTGCTGTGTAGACTGTGGTTTTAAGGTGGGAGGAACTGGCTCCTGTAAGCTCCAGAACATTCTCTCTGTTTCCTTGGAGGAAATAAAAGATGTGTTGTTCTAGTCAGCTCTGTCTAGCCTCAGACTTCAGCATCGAGATTCTGCTCCAGAGCACGGTCTGGTTCAATTCCACTTCAAATCCACCTAATTTATTAATGGAGTCGAAAATGGGTTTCAGGTTCCGTAATAGGTAGAAAGCACATTTCCCATCTCCTGAAACATTAGCTCGAAACATCTGAGTAAAAAGGGAGTGTGACAGAAAGAACAGTCCACAGATGAAGAATGCCTTGCACATAAGCAGGAAAAACAAAGGGACGCTAACAAGATGTTTTCTCTTGTCCAGATGTCACTCTGACCAGGCTCTCTCGCTGCCTCCTTCTCTCAAATGAACAAACTGAGTTATTTTGTGTAAATCAGGTGATCATTTAGGGAATAAATCATCTGATGCCCTCAGGAAAAAAAGCCAAAACCACTGTTTATTTGCTTAATTGTCTGTCAAAACAGCCAAAAAAAGCAAGAGTTTCCAAGCTGGAGTTAAAAAAAAATGATTAAAAGCTACAGAGAAAGTGGGACTCCTAACAAACTTGCAAGACCTGGTATGCCACCGACACTGACCCCATCAGATAAAGAGCACTAAAAGCTTTCATCTTTGAGAGAGAGGAGAAAATCAAGCTGCTTCAGATCTGAAAACATCCACAGGTGTTTCTGTCCATCCTTCCACTGTGAGAAGACGACTCAGCGCTATGGGTCTGAAAGGATGTTGTGAATCTGCTGGAGTTCTAGGAATAATGGACTGACCACCAGAGTCCAGACCTCAACATCACTGAATGTGTCTGGGATTTCTTGGATCATGAGAAGCAGAAAATGCAACCAACTTCTAAGACTGAACTGAAAGCAAGTATCCCGAAAAGAATGGACGCTTTATTAAAGGCTAGAGGTGGACACATTCAATACTGAGGGGTATTATATGTAGTCATCAAGGCTTCTGTGTAATTTTCTGATAAATATGTGTTTTCTACGGAGCTCTGCTGGTGACATCCCATATAAACAAAACAAATGCGTGGCCACGCCCTATTAATGCATGGGTACAAGATCCTAATGCGTGGCCATGACTTTGTAAGGCATGGGAACAAGATAATAAGTCATGGCCAACACTTAATAAGGTGTGGTAATGAGATGCTAATGCGTGGCCACAACTTAGTAAGGCATGGGAACGAGATAATTAAGTCATGGCCACCACTTAGTAAGGTGTGAGAATGAGATCCTAATGCATGGCTTATCATGGCTTAATAAGCCATGATCTCGTGGCCACGAATAATCATCTTGTTCCTACACCTTAATAAGTCATGGCCACGCATTAGGATCTTGTTCCCATGCAATAATATGGCATGGCCACACATTATTTTTATTTATATGGCAAGTCACCAGCAGGGCTCTGTAGTTTTCTGCTTTTTTTCCTGATGCTGAAGAATAAACTTGAACTAGTTGCCATTTTGACTGGAGATTGTGGAAACCGAATAAATGAACAACGTCTTTTGCAGCGTGATGTATATGTACGCACAACTTGAACATGCATGTGTGTTTAGATATATATAAGAAAACCTTGTGTCTCCATTTTTGACGTTTTTCAGTTTTTGACATAATTTAAAAATTATTTATTTTTTACATTGTATGTAAAGTTTATGATGAATGGACAAAAAGAAATGACCCAAAATGACCTGGAAAGAATTCTGGTTCCACTGACTTACATTAAAAGTAAAGTATGTTTTTTCCTTTTCCTGTAAAGTTATATGTATATATATATATATATATATATATATATACATGTGTGTATATCGCTGTTGTTGGAAGAAAACCTCCAACATATCCATTTTATTATATATATATATATATATGTATATATATATATATATATATATATATACACACACACACACACAAGTAAGGACTCCTGCATGGATGTAGTGTCCAAATGCAGTGTGTGCATTTAGATGTAATCGTTCGTATGTGTCCTTATGTCAGCATGACCTGCACGAAAGTAACTGCATAACTGTATGCAATGTTGTGTACATACCGTATACGTACTACATTCTGCGTATGTCAGCATGTGTGTGTATGTGTGTGTTCGCCCCAGCTGTGCTGTGCTCTCAGGCAGAAAAAGAACCTGGAGGTGTGAACACTATGGCAGCACCTCACACCTTCCACACTCCACTTCCTCTTCACTAATTAAGACCCACAGCAGGGGCTGAAGAACAGCTGTATGACTTGCCCAGAGAGAGGGAGAGAGAGAGAGAGAGAGAGAGAGAGAGAGAGAGAGAGAGAGAGAGAGAGAGACTGCACGTGGAACTGGCTGAACACGAGTGTGCTTGCACATAAGTGTGTAAACCCACCTTCACACTGCTTGCCATCTCCCTTGTAGCCAGCCTTACAGATGCATTTGAAAGACTTTGGGGTATTCTGGCACAGTGCATCAATGTGGCAGTCATCTGTGGCCTCTGAACACTCGTCTGCGTCTGGGAAAAAGCAACAACGCAGGAGGAACTATTATTCACTGGTAGTGCTGCGACTGCATCACGGTGATTCACGGTTTAGCAAACAATGTGGATCTGAAACATTCCTACACAGGCACAGCTGATGGACGGTTCACTAAGAGAAAAAGTGAGATAAGAAGTGAGGCAGGCACACCTTCTAGACGCTGATTCAGATCAGCGTAAAGCATTGAGGTAATGTGTTTAATCAACCTGATAGTGACGAACAGGATTCAAACATGCAGCCTACGTTAATGCGAACAGGATTCAAACATGCAGCCTACGTTAATCCTTCATTTGAAACATCAGGCAAGGATATCACATTTTTCAGTTTGTGACATAATGTGAAAATGCCTGCTGCCCTTTACATTGTGTGTAGATTTTGAATGGATGAAAAGAAATGGCCCAAAATGACTTAGCAAAAAATCTGGTTCCATTGACTTACATTAAAAGCAAAGTAGGTTTTTTCCTTCTCCTGTAAAGTTACCATTTAGGAGATGCAAGATTTTCTTCAGACAACAGCGATATATATGATTTACACTGTTAGAAATAAAGGTTCTGTGCAGGTACATTCTTCATTCATCAAGGTACAAACAGTGTAAATGTTCCCTCAAAGGTGAAACAATGGTTTAAGGTCTGATTGTGAACCTTAAATAAGTTTTTTTCCAGGTGAAAAGTTCATATTTGTACCTTATGATAACCTAATGACTTAAAATAGAACAGTAAAATAAAAGCCTGGAGACGAGACGGGGTGTGTGGAGTCAGTACAGCTTAGAAAATATCATTTCAGTGGATTATGTTACAGTTATGTTCCCTGACTAAAGGTACTGAGATGTACCCTTGAGGGTCCCACCCCAGTGAGAGGAGGGGCACTGCCCCAGTGACAGAGTGTAGAATATATGATTTTAAATCATTTTTTGATCTCTTCCTTCATTTGCTCTGCCTCCTCATTGGAGAACTGGGCTTACATTTACACATTTTATGTCTACAAAGCAATAAAGAGCAAAAAAGTCTATGTCTCTGTCGTAGAAGCAGCAGAGGTGGAGCAGACTGGCTGTGCTGCGCCTCTCCTCACTCCTGCACTCTTCTCATCATTAATCACATGGAACCCCAAATCATTTGGGGTTTAAAGACAACAGCGCCGTTTTTATTGATCTGTCAAAGTATCGACTTTTTCTCCTCGTGCAGGGTTTTCGTTACTAAGGCACCCACTTGGTAGTTAAGGCAATGGATGACCCCCGGTGAGGTGGTCGATAACAAGGCGCCGGATGGACAGCGTGATTTTCCCTCCACCCGTATTCCTGCAGGCCCCGCCCTCTCCGCTGCGATTGGCTGGTGGTATCCGGTGATCTGTGCTACGATTGGCGCCGCCTGTGCTGACATTGGCTACACTCTTAAGATGGTTCTTCAAGGGTTCTTTAGTAAGGAAATGGTTCTATTTAGAACCATGAGTTCTATATCCTTAAAAGGACATAATCACAAGTCTCAATGGGTGTGACTGTGCAGTACACTATTTAAAAAGGTGGTTCTCCAAGGGTTCTCCTTGAGTTAAGGGAATGGTTCTGTTTAGAGCCATTGCATGCTTAAATGGTTCTTTGCATGGTGAAATGGCTCTTCAGACTGGAGAATTTGTTGTTTATGGTTCTACATAGCACCAGCAATGGTTCTTTTATTATTACAAATTGACATCATAACACAGGAACCCTTTTTGGTGTTATGTAGAACCATATACAATATTCTCCATCAGTCTGAAGAACCATTTCACCCTGCAAAGAACCATTTGAGCATGCAATGGCTCTACACAGAACTCATGGTTCTAAACAGAAATGGTTCTTTGCATGGTCTAACGGCTCCTCAGACTGGAGAATCTGCTGTATATGGTTCTATATAGCACAAACAAGGGTTCTGCTATTATAACAAACTTGACACCCTAATAGAAGAACCCTTTTTGGTGCTGTATAGAACCATAGACAACATTCTCCATCAAACTGAAGAACCATTTCACCATGCAAAGAACCATATAAGCATGCAATGGCTCTACATAGAAGTCGTGGTTCTAAACAGAACCATTCCCTTTACTGAAGAACCCTCTGGAGAACCACCTTTTTAAGTGTACTTCGTACTCACGACCATTGGGACTTGTGAATATAACCTACTAACCAATCCAAGCACAAAGGGGCGGGGCTCGCCGGAATACAGGTGGGAAAGAAAACGCGCAGCTCGCTACCTTCGCCCTGTGCCGCCCGCACGCTCTAGTCCTTATGGACCCTTTTAAGTTTCCCCACCAAATTTCTCTTTTCTTTCTAAAACAATCGCAGTGCCCGTTCATCACAACACAAACAGGAGTGAGTTAAACCCAGTTCTGGTATCAGACTGACAGAAGTGGACTGAGCTTAGAAATAGGCTGAGGGCTCAAACCCAAGCGTCGTCGGGCAGGACAGGAACAAACAGCCTTTAAAACTTCATTGATCAAATATTGGTATTTGTTTATTAGTGCCAAAGCGACCTACGAGTGGGGACGCGCGTGGAGATCGCTGCAGATGAGCACTGATAAGGCGTGAAAAGTTTAGGCAGCGTAATTGGAATTGGAAGATAAAGAGGATAAAGATAAAAGAGGGCTTACCTGCTGCTCCCACATTCCCCATGACACGGGGAGCGTTTATGAGGACGAAAAGCAAACAGAGGTGGCGGGAAAAGCGCGCCCTGCCCATGGCGAAAGGTGTGAGTGAGCGGAGTTAGAGTTGTATATTTCTTTGATAAGAGGCACCGCTGCGCTGCTGGCGGAGGGAGCACGGCGAGAGCGCGCAGACGCACGACGAGTGCTCATTGGCTTGCACAAGTTGGAGAGGGAGAGAGAGAGAGAGAGAGAGAGAGAGAGAGAGAGAGAGACAGAGAGAGCAAGGCAGAAAGACAGAGAGAGAGATAGAGAGAGAGACTTCAGCCTGAAGTGATACAAGGCGCCCAGGCTGCTGTCAAGAGCCGAGAATTGAAGCAAAATGTTGATAAAGGTACTTGCTAGTCACGGCACATTCTGCGAGGTTCTAGTAAACACTTATTCAGCACGATTTTACGCTTTTAAAGACTCTACCCCACTAATTGTTCGACTCGTCTTCACTCAAGTTGCCTTATGGTCACAGAAAAGTCAGTAAGAGAAATCAGATATAAGTTAAAGTCAAACAATTAAACGTTTTAACACAGCTGAGTTCATTATTTCGTAGTCTTACATGCAGCGCATCAGCAAATGCGCTGCCCTGAGATGTGTCAGCTATTGGAGAGATTATAGCTCCCTCTGCAGGCCAGCCTAAACGATGCAGGAAGTGGGGGGTCTCAACACCCATACCAGAACTAAACTAGCAGTAGAAGTAGAGGACTGCTGCAGTCAAGAAAGCACACCAAGACAGGCTTGATAACCGCATCTACTTTTATAGGACTACTACATAAAAAATGGCATTATTTAAAAAAAAAAAGAAAGGAAAACGAAACAATTTTGGTTCCATTGTAAATTTGGGAATGAATAGGACTTCATATACTGTGGTGCTGATGTAGAGTAAGATTTTTTTTATTGAAAAAGCAGCAGAAAGGCACGTATATAGCACTGAACCCACCGGAAGGTTACCATCAGCTTTAGGCTTGTAAAAGCCCCCAGTAGCCCCCAACACCAAACACTCGTGCCCCTGACACAGACTAACACAAATACACAACTTAAGCTAATGGACAATAACATTTACAGGGAGTGCGCACCTCACATGAGCCTCTTTGCATGGCTCCACACATCCCGAGCCAGTAGCCGGACACTACATAGCCCCCCTTCAAAGGTCGACTCTCTTGGCAACACACCAGCTCGAGCTAAGTCCTTCTGCACCAGCAGTCCCAGCCCTCATGAATGCTGCAGGGCGCTCACTCCCCCAGTCCTCGCCCTGAGCTGCATCCTTGCTCCCGCAGCACTTTCTGCTGTGTGGCAGAATTCCCAACAGCATGCTGTGTAAAATCCCATGCAGCTGGGGGCGACAGCACCAGCAGCGCTGCTCCACAAACTTGCCATCCGTTTTCTACACCGCCCACCGCACCATCAACACTGATATGAGTGCTGTTCTTGAGCACTGGGGCGCTGATTCTGACCTGAGCTGGACAATGGTCGCCATCCAGCCATTTAATGTACCTCTCTCAGTGTGCGTGAGCAGGCCTGATCGCAGTAGGGATGTTGGCAAGCATGATGAGCTGTTCCGTCCATGCTGCACTTGACCAACAGCCTGTGGTTGCAACTGAACCTCCCAGCCGGCATCTGGCTGAAAAATATAAATGTCCCTCATTATCACATCATTTTTTCATCTATTTATCAATGGGTTGATTATAGTTATATTAAGTCAAATAAGATTTCAATCCTTTGTTAAGACTAATTTACCCTTTGCACCGTCACAGAGGTGACATAAACAGACATTATCCACAACGTGCAGCAGTTGAGGTACATTTGAAGTGAACAAGCAGTTAACATCTGCAGTGTGGAAGTATTTTAAGGGGGAAAATGAAAACATGTCAAGAGCCAGATGTGATACCAGTAATCTGTAATGTCAGTATTTAGACTGCGGTTAACCGTCAGCAAAACAAAGTTAAAGCAATGATTCAGTCAAAAATCTAATTTATGCAATCATCCTCTTTTCCCAAATGTAGTCCATCAAACATATAGATGTTTGGTGTCAGAAGTTTTCTTCAAGGCCCCACGTAGCTAACAAGTAATGGAGTCTTATAGCCACCAGTTAGCGTCGGGCAAACTGCAAGTCTAAATCATCATACACTTAAATCACACTGTGTTGCTAAGCTGCACAAGGCAAGGCAAGTTTATTTATATAGCACCTGTCATACACTGCGGTCATTCAAAGTGCTTTACAAGTGAGAAAATACAACGATAATTCAAATTAAAAGTAACATTAAAGTTAAAATTACATTAGGATAATAAGAGTGCTGTTACAGGACAGAAGTGCAGTAGAGCTAACTGTTTTAAACTGAGCTGAAAGCTGCTTAAACAGGAACATTTTCAGCACAGATTTAAGAGTGTCCAGTGTTATAATGCTCTCAGAAAAGTAGCTAAATGCTGCTTCTCCATGTTTAGTCTTTACCTCAGGCAGGACTAACTGACTAGTTCCTAATGATATCAGATAAATACGCTGGTCCTACACCATTAAGTGATTTATAGACCAGTAATAGTACCTTAACTTTCTGTAACAGACTGTAACAGACTCTAGACTATGTGTGTTTGGAGTCCTCTCTAGCTGATATATGTAATTGTAAGCATCTTGACCACACCCTGAGTAGACTGATCTAGCTACGATTGCCCTTTTAAAGTATCCTCTATGTTGAACGAGTTGTATTTATATACTGCTTTTATCAAGGTCAATGTCACTTGACAATAAGAGAACATTATTGAACAAACAGAACATGTAGGGCTGCATGGATATTTAATTTTCATTGTCAATTCCAATTTTTTTACAGCTAAACTGGCAGATGGACAATTTTATTGGCTAATTTTTTTAGCCTTTTTTTAAATCCAAAGCTCAAGCTGTGAGAATTAAATGAACATATGAAACACACTGGCACACTGCCAGTTTCAGTTGGCCAAAGTTGCAATGTAAATAACATTAACTGCTGTTTAATTGGACAAACTGGTATTTTAAAAGCAAATTCCACAGATTTTTCAAAACTTAATAATTAAAAAAATGCAATTAATTTCTTTCCAGGTTTTCATTTCATGGTTCATTTTAGAGAACCAGAGTTCACAGTGTCTGTAAGACAAATATAGGCATTTTATTTATTACCCAAAAAGAGCACTGAAACTGCACGTGTCTCCTGAGATTTTATATGTAATGAAAATGGCTTTGAAAAATATATATTTTAGGCCAGAACTTAAAACTACTGTAAAGCAGGCAAGTCTTTGGCAGTTTTCTGTGAGGAAGCTTTTGGTGTCAATAAACTCTTCAGACATCTGGTTCCTATCACCAGCAATGTGAATGACTCATGATGAATTCTGACTCATTTCACACCAAACCACTCTGAACGACTCTGTTTACATCTTAACTATTTAATTATGCAGAAACTTTAAAAATCAGTGGCCTATTTAATCAACACGAATCAAATAAAGGGCTACATTGAAAGTAACAATCAACTGGCTGTTTAGCACAATAAATCATGCATAATTGTGCTGTGCCATTTTAGTACATGTGTAGCAGCAGCACTCAAGCACAGCTCGAGTGGACTTACATTACTTATGTCATAAAAGTGCAGCAATGATCAGACTAATTAAAATAAATCAATAAATATGTTGGCAATTTGTCAACTGCATGTTTGGAGCAAAAATCTGCCAATTCTGCATATTCAGTTATTGTTAACTGATTCTTTACATTTAACATTTCTTGAGTGATGAACAGAAAGATGTCATGTCATGTAAATGAATATGTTTGTCAATTAAAGTACTTTAAAAGTAAAGAAGAAAAACAATTAACAAATAAAATCTCATAAAGTGAAGCTTTATGTAATCCCGACTAGACTTGCTCATGTGGTTTCTGATGTTGGATAAGATAAAGTTATGAAAAAATGTAATTCTGCCTTCAAGATGGCTTATACTCCTGGTTTTTAGCTCAAAAAGTAGCAAGAATTTTGCAAGAATTTCACAAAAAATATTCACTAAATCTGCCACAGGAGCCCAAGGCACCAATATTAACAGCTCAAAAATCTGATGACTACAAAAAAAATTAGGAAATAGAAACACAAGTGTGTTGACATAGGATTACGTTCGGCCACACAGTAGGCCTTTGACTAGACATAAGTTAATGTTACCATCCTAACAACTGGCAGTTAACATGCAAAGGTAACAACAAGGATAAAAAAGATAACATAACTTACTACTTATATTATCTGATATATGATATTACACACAGGCTTCAGGGCCAGTTTATCTCAAAGAGAGGTCCACTGCCGGTGAGCACAGGAGGCATGGCCATGCAGAGTGGCTACACACAGAGGTTCTCAGGAGGAGTAGGAGGGACATTTCTTGTAAATAAGTTGTTGTTGTTTGCAAAACGAGGTGCTGATGTGTTGCTTTACTGCGTTGGCCTGTGTTGTAGGGTAGTAGTGTCAGTGTTAGTGTCTACCATAAGGTGAACTGTGTCTCCTCAATTCAATGCATGTATTGTTAAAACACACATATTGACAAAATACTGTTACATTGACTTCTTATTCCTCTTTCTATATTTTGTTCTACAGTCTAAAACACGATCAAATAAATATGGATCAATAAAAAAAAAAACCACTGGGTTATCAGGACCTCCCCTTTCCTCCTTTCTCTAAGGCTGCGTCCAAAACCGCATACCATCATACTAAATAGTGTGCCAAAAATAGAAGTACTCCACCAATAGAAGTCCATTCATTTAATGTGGTATACGTAACGTAGTATTATGTGATTTGGGACGCGGCCCAAGTTCCCATCGTCACTCTCCGGTCATTGGGTTTGACAGCAGTTGGGCGCCGCCCACTTTGCCCAGCCGTCACACCACACCGGCCAATCAGAGCGGAGATCTGCAACAAGGGTTGAGTGTCATGGCGTCTTCCTTGAAGGGGGTTGGGTTCGGTGCTGAATGCTGAATAACAAGACAACCAGCAGCCTCTGCTCGGCCGCCCTGACCCACCACAGCTCACGAAGAGGGGTTAAAGCGGGAATACGTGAACATGGGGACGGTCCACGCGAGGGTAATCACATTTCGTAAAGGTCAAGTGGAAAAACAGACTGTGTTTGTCCGTGACCTCTTGTGTGTGTGCAGCACTAATGCACTCGTGCTGAATTTCCCCGTTCCACCTTAAATGGTGCAGCAGTTATAGGCGCCAGACTGTAGCTGCTGCACCATTTAAGGTGGAACGGGAAAATTCGAATAGGAGTCCAGCTTCAGCCTCGTCTCATTGTGCTGGTTGGCCTCAGTCCTGTCGCTCAGACGTTGGCAGATCACTGTTGATGTGAGAATTAGGGAAATATTCCCAGCGATAACTTCAGTGTCTGATATTTCATGTGTTTGTGATACTGTATTGCAGAGTCTGGACCCTCTTCCGATGCACGGGCGCGACCTGGGCGTCCACCCAGACGACTTGGAAGTGGTGGAGGCGGAGCAAGAAACCAAGAAAGAGATCCTGGAAAATAAAGATGTGAGTCACTGCAGACCTTTAGTGCTGAGCCCCTAAGGCAGGGGTGCCCAATCCCTTACCTTGACCTCTTATTCCACGTGCTGTACTTCTGTTTTACAGCCTAAAACACTATCAAATAAATATGGATCAATTAGAAAACAAACAACTGGGTTATTAGGTTATCCTCTCCTTTCCTCTTTTCTCTAAGGCTGCGTCCAAAACCGCATACCATCATACTAAATAGTGTGCCAAAAATAGTACTCCACCAATAGAAGTCCATTCATTAATGTGGTATATGTAACGTAGTAGTATGTGATTTGGAACGCAGGCCAAGTTCCCATCGTCACTCTCTGGTCATTGGGTTTGACAGCAGTTGGGCGCCGCCCACTTTGCCCAGCCGTCACACCACTGAGCCCCTAAGGCAGGGGTGTCCAATCCTGGTCCTGAAGATCTACCACTGTGGAGAGTTCAGATCCAACACACCTGGCTCTAATACTCAGATGCCCCTGAAGGTCTTCATTACCTGAGTCAGGTGTGCTTGATTAGGGCTGTGCAGGGTGGTGGATCTCCAGGACCAGGATTGGGCGCCCCTGCTCTAAGGTGACATGGTGATTATTCTTTAATAAGATGTGGCCTCAAATGAATAAATTGAGGCCATGGATTTGTATATTGAGGCCACAAATGACTATAGTATTTTAGATTATAGTATTCAGTGGTCTTAATATAGCAATTTATGGCCACACCTTGCTAAAAAGAATCACCATGTCACCTAGGGCGGGGGTGTCCAAACCTTTTTCAAAGAGAGCCAGATACAAAGAGAACCGTATCAAAATACCTGAGGGCTGAAATATTATTCACATTTGATTCCAAACAACCTTTTTAACTCCTTGGGATCACCAGTGGTTCCAAAACACACTTCGTCATATTCTTCATAACTTTCATATTTCATAAGCTACATTCAGAAGCTGGGTGTCATATGAGAGCTGTAACTGTCTTCTTTCCAGTCAAATAGATGGGTGATGTAATTTTAAACCCTTATAATAAAAGAAGCTGGACTCACAATTTTTTTGTCTACTGGAAGTCGACCCATTTTTCCACAAATCTGGGCTATAAACTATAAACAGATGGCGTCTCTTCAGTGATCTGCTCTGTAAAAATTATTTTTATAAAAAAATACAAAGAGCGTCTAAGATTTTTGGCTTTCAACAGTAAATTGCAAAAAATAAATAAATAAATAAAATAAAATAAAATAAAAATTTACATTCATTTCATGCAGTTACTGAATAATTTACCTTACAATTTGAGCATGTAAATTCAGATGGAAAAACCAAAATATACCCTGGAGAATAAAAGGTTTTCAAAATATCAGCGCATAGAGTCAGAGCTTTTTGTGAGCTACCATGTTTCCTATCGCTGTATGAAAGTGTTTTTTTTATTTATACCCTTTTTGCTTTCCTCTAGGTTGTTGTACAGCATGTCAACATTGAAGGCTTAGGAAGAACTAAAGAGGATTATTTGGGCTATGAGATCTCTGATGTCTTCAACGCCAAAAACCTCATTGATGTAAGTGAGTTGATGAAGAAAAGATTTGTTTTGCTCGGATGTTGATTCCACATGTCACAAAAGAAAGTTTGGGTCGTCTTTGCTGTGCAGGTGATGAAGAAATCACATGAAGCCAGACAGAAGCTGCTCCGCCTGGGCATATTCAAGGAAGTGGAGGTCCTCATTGACATCTCAGAAGGTACAGTTTGTACACCGTTTTTATTTTTATTTTTTGTTTATTTTGTTTGTTTGCATTTGAGTGGTTCAGACACACATCCTGCTGTGAAACTTGGGCCTAATCCCATTTCTCATTTTTACCTCTACCCCTTGTTTTTGAGTGTCACCTTGTAACTCTGTTCCAAGGGGCAGTGGTTGAAATCTTCCCATATGAAATGAGACCCTCAAATAAAAAGAGCATTACTTCATTAACAGCTACTAGCGCTGCTCTGTAGTGACCCTGCCAGTCTGCAGTGACAGCAGAGGAGGGTAAAGTTCAGCTCCTCACTGCTGGGCTTTAGTTACATTTAGGGCATCATATGCCTTCAGAGGGGGGGTCTGACAATTACTTATTATCGCCCACCCCTAATTCTTCAGTAATATGAAGGTGAAGTCAGATATTCGTCAGCTTCTTACTCAAATTTACCTGTTCCACTTTAAATGGAGCAGCAGTTACATTCTGGCGCTTCAGGCATCAGAACTGCTGGACTATTTAAGGTGGAACGGAAAATTTAGCTAGCAACCTACTGAGACATCAGCATACTACTAGTGATTTTTTATGCTTGTTGTAAAGAAGAGGACCATAATACATTGAAACGACATTAAACTAAGAAAAAACAATGATTATCATAATTATTTAACAGAGAAAATTCTCACATTTGTGGGTTTCTTTGGTCACTCATGCGGCCATCTTGCTGGGTTTTTTTTCCTCATAACGCTCTGTTTGGAATGTGCCTCTGAAAAACCTCCATTTGGGGGACCATGTAGCCCTAACACTTCCCCCTACCCATCTATATCAACACAAATTGGCACTGCCTTTAAGTGTGAACGTGCAAAATAGGGGGGAAGGGCTAAGTGGTAGCAGCAATGGGTGAAATGGGATTGGGCCTTGGGTTCTGTTCTTAACACCTTAAGTGCTCTGATCTTCAGGAGAAGATGCCCTGCCCAATGGCCTGGATGTGACGTTTGAGGTGACAGAGCTGAAGAGAGTGACTGGTAGTTATAACACCATGGTTGGGAACAATGAGGGCAGCATGGTAAGAGGCAGTGCACCCACACTTTATTTAACTTACATAAACACAATCAGACACAGTCACACAATATTGTGCGTTATTATACTCCCGCAGTAACTTCTCGTCCAATGTTTTATAGCTCACTTCGTAAACAAAAAGAGTTTGTTTCTGTTGAAGGGAGTTGTTTCAAATTGTCTGTATAATTAAATTGTTGAGATGTAAAGTCATTCAGAGTGATTTATTGCGCAGCGATTCATTGTAGAGAAACATATTGGATTTCTCTACAATGGTAGAGATAGGAGGCAGGTGTCATGGTATCTACACAAATATAGCCATTTCATTTGCTATCCAGTTAACCTACATGGATCTCCTAAGGCAGGGGTGTCCAGTCTTATCCACAAAGGGCTGATGTGGCTGCAGGTTTTCACTCCAAACAAGCTGAAGCTCATCTGATTCTATTTGTTTAATCAGTCGGTCTTAGTCTTCAAACATTTCATCAGGTGACCTCCTGCTTTGTCGGAATGAAAACCTGCAGCCACACCGGCCCTCTCCAGGCCGGGATGTCCAATCTCCCGCTAAGATTGGGCACCCATGTTCTAAGCGGTCTTCCGTAATGTTAATAATAGTATAATAATGGTAAATTAAGGTAAAACATGCTTTCTTGCCTTAGAACACCTGGCACATACTTTTAAGGCCAAAACCTTATCTGAAAACTATTGTTAAACTGTGTCTTAGGCTTAAGGCGACATATTTGCAATGATTTATAAAACAGCTTTGTGTGAGGCGTTAAACTCAGACGTCTGGTTCCTATCACCCGCACTATGAAAAATTCAGATCCAATAAGTTCCTCTATAATGGCATATTTCGCATACAACCACCGTGTATGGCTTTGTTTATCTTAACGAATAAATTATGCAGAAGTGTAGAAAAATCTCTGGAATTCCCCATTTAATGTATTAATATGTTGCTCCTTGTGTAGGTGCTTGGCATTAAGCTCCCCAACATGTTCGGTCGTGGGGAGAAGCTCACTTTCCAGTTCTCATACGGGACTAAGGAGACCTCATATGGCTTGTCTTTCTTTAAACCTCAGCCAGGCTACTACGAACGCAAGTATGATGTCTAATGTTGTTTTGATGAAGAATCAAAAAGAAAAAAGGTTTTTTGAAAACAAATGCTCTTTTCGTTCATGCAGTTTCACACTAAACTTATACAAAGTGACTGGGCAGTTTCCATGGAGTTCACTGAAGGAGACAGACAGAGGAGTTTCCACAGAACTCAGCGTAAGAATATATCAAACTCTTTACATTATTAATGCAAATATCAAAAACAGCTGTTCAGTAGCACCTTGATTCTGCAGTCTGAAAGGGTTTACTGGTGGTCTGCCCCTCTGTCCTCCTCTCCGTCAGTTCCCTCTGTGGATGACCGATCACACTCTGAAGTGGGAGGGCGTGTGGCGGGAGCTGGGCTGTCTTGCTCGCAGTGCCTCCTTCGCTGTACGAGAGGAAAGCGGCCACACTCTCAAATCTGCCCTCTCAGTAAGTTATGCCTTATTAATTATCTGCTCAAGTCAGAAACAAGTTAGAGGGAAAGTGCACCCAAAAATGATTTTAAAAGTTTCCTCTTCCAAATGATAACAATTTTAGACAACAACATGTTATTCTAATGAGAAAATATTTAATTTTTTTCTTTGTATTAGTTATTCTGACTCATTTGACTCGTCAGATAGGATTGGCCTTCAAATTTGAAGTTTGGTCAAATTCTGAGGACAAGACCCAGAGCCATGTATTTAATAGAGGTTAGAGATTGCTAATGTCTCTAAAGATCTGTGTCCCCTGCTGATTTCATTCTAGCACACCATGGTACTAGACACCAGGAACTCTGCCATCCTTCCAAGAAAAGGTGCCTTACTGCGGATCAACCAGGTACGTGAGGACGGCTTTGATGAGTTTACTTGTCAATGTAGAGTTTTAACTGTTTAGTATATATATGATTGGGAACTGTGGGCCAGTATCTGATATTTTTTATGTACTGATATTGATGAAGATGTATAAGCATAAAAACATTTGTAAAATGTACAGATTGGGACTACATCTACCTGAATTTGCATTACAGAGAAATATAAAGTTTATTTCTATATAGATGCAAAGCACTAAAGTGAATAAAATGCAGACAGTTTAGCACAGTAACCCAGCATCATCTAAGTATTCTGCTTTTCTTGAGTGCATAAATATACGTTATCAAATATCGTTTTTGAAATAATGGCCCAGGCTGAACATGTTTTTGATGTGAATATTTTTTTTATAAAGAGAGATCTTCCAAAATGTTTGCATTATTAAATCATTGAGATATAAACAAAGCCATTCAGCATGATTTGACGTGAAATTCTTGAAAGCCTTATTTACTGTCCAAGGTAATGATAATGGTATATCTGAACATTTTTTGGTTGGGGTGGTGGACTATTTTGCCTTACAGTGACCTGTGTGTACCTCCCTGCCAGAGTGGATTTTTAAAAATATGTTTTAGGCTTACAACATACTTTAAAATTATAGTTAAACTATGTTTTGGGAATCTGGCCACGCATGTGTGGCCAGTTCATACAATAACTTTCTATGTGATAGAGGCATTAGGGGCATTAAACACTTCGGATGTCTGGTTCCTATTACCACCACTAACCTTCTCTAGAACAGAGCACATTAAACCACTTTGAATAATATTATTTGCATCTTCATGATTTAAACTGTTGCCAAGCCAAATTTTTATTACACACTTCTATAACCTAAGAAAAGCTCCATTATTTTGTATTGAAGTCCCTGTAGTTAATGGATAAGAAGCCTTTGTATGAAATAACCCTGGAATGTTAAGGTTTAATTATACAGACATTTGAAAAATTGGTGGAATTTCCCTTTAAGCAATCATCTGCTGAAACCCATATGATGATTTATGAATTTTTCTTTCTTTATGCCATCTTCTTTGAAACACGTGTCTGTCAGTGAGTGTCTCAGCTGTGTGACTGAGCAGAGGATGTATTTGCTGTGTTGGTGCAGGAGCTGGCGGGTTACACAGGGGGCGATGCCAGCTTTCTGAAGGAGGACTTTGAGCTGCAGCTGAACAGACCGTTCCTCTGGGGCTCTGTGAGTCAGTCTTGTGATGAACATTGCTGGGCTACAGTTATTTAATCTTGAAATCTGTTGAGCCAAATCTGATCATTTTAAGTGATGTTTGGAAGCCAGTTCTCAGCATGATTGTGTTGTGTGTCTTTCAGGTGCTCTCTGCATCTCTGTGGGGAGGAATGATCTTTCCCATTGGTGGTCGACCGATCTCAATTGCTGACAGGTAATTGTGTAATGTTGCATTCCCTGTGCCATGAGTTGTATTTCTCGGTATATAATTTGTTAATTACAATGCAAGTCAGAATGTTTTATGTTGATTTTCTGATTGTCTGGATAGATTATGAAACACTAGGAAACTGAAAGTTGAAAATGTTAACAGGATATGTGGATTATATATTACAAGTGTGCTGTTTAGTGAATGTATGCTCACATATGAAATTCCACTAGTACAATAATAAGCCTTGTTAAAAGGGAATTCTACAGATTTTTCACAATTTCTGCATAATTAAATCTTCAGGATGTCATCTAAGCCATTCAGTGTGGTTTGATGTAAAGTGGTCATTGTAGGAAAATTTACCAACACATATTCCATTATAGTGGTGGTGTTGGGAACCAGGGGCCTCAGTGTCTACGGTGCAAATGTATCTTGCATTTGTACTTTATTTACAATCTAAAATGACCAATGAACCTAAATGTGTCTTCTGAGTTTTTATGTAATGTTTATGATGGTAAAATAGTAAATCTTTAATGTACCAAAGAACCAAAATCTTATCACATAACTATCAGAAAGCAGTATTTCAGACAGATGGTGCAGCATATTCGCGACCATTTCAGGTAATGATTTTCGGTGAGATCTGTTAAAGAGCACACGTGTCAGGCTCCAGTCTACGCGGGCCAAAACACTGCAGACTTCAACACAGTGCCTCGTTAAATACACCTGATTCAGCTCATCAGCTAATTAGCAAGGCCTTCATGAACTGAATTCAGGGTGTTAGATGAGGGTAGATGATCTCCGCAGCACTTTGACCCGGAAGGTCCCCAGTTTGACATGCCTGTTATAGAGGCATTAAACACTGCTGATGTCTGGTTTCTATCACCAACACTGAGTGTGTTTACATGCACTTAATAATCAGATGACTGCAGAAAATCAGACTTTGTCAGTAATCTGATCAACAGGTTTACATACACTTGAGTAATCAGATAATGTGAAACTCCGGGTCTAACGCTAGTCAGACAGTAATCAGATTTCTGCTTTGAATTCTGACTTTACGCCATGTTTTTTTACAAAAACATCACACCACTTTGAAAATCTGAACATAGATCATCTACAAGAAAATGTTTAAATCCTTAATTTTGTTAAGTATGTAGTTGTTTTCAGCGTTGCTCCAAAAGTGTTTTGCTGTGTCTCACTGCAGCACTGCTTGTTTATTCCCGGCACTGCGGTCCGTTTTGCACATGTGCAGACTGGGAAATCCGAAATAAATCAGAGTAAGAGTTTACAAGCACTGAGAAATCTGATTACTGAGCTAAAATCCAGCTCTCTTTATGAGCTTTCTTAATCGGATTCCTAGACCATACTTCGAACTAAGAAATCGGAGTATGGTGTTTACCTGACCATTTGAATAATCAGATAACTGCAGAAATCTGATTATGATCGAATTATTGAGTGCATGTAAACGCAATCACTGTGGTGATGATTCTAAGTTTCTCTAGAACTGAGCATTTCATACCGAACCACTCTGAATGACTTTGTTTACATCTGACTCATTTATTTATGCACAAATTTTGAAACATCAGTGGAATAATCATATTTCTGCACATGCAAACATAGAAAAATACCATAATGACCATAAAGAAGTGGCTAGATTTGTGTACTTTTCCCCTTCCTACATTTTGAAAGATATGAGCTGTAGTCAAGTGGTGTAGGATGCTGCATGTCTGGCTAAGGCCTATTTGGAGCTGGTGCAAAAATGTGTAGTGGCTGATTTGTGGACATGTCGCATTCAGTGCTGTTTGGCTTATTTCTGTCAGGTTTTACTTGGGTGGTCCTACCAGTGTGAGAGGATTTGGCATGTACAGTATTGGCCCTCAAAATGAAGGTCAGTTTGTGATCTTGTCTAGACTGACACTCTAAAAATCAGTTCTGGAATCAATAAAGAAAGCTGCTCTGTTTATGATGATGTTGTTCATTTGCTGCGACCTTTTACTGTCGGTGGGACTGATCCTGTTTTTAAATCTGTGCATGACTGCCTCTTTACCTGATCAGGTGACTACCTGGGTGGAGAGGCATACTGGGCCAGTGGGCTCCACCTGTATACACCCCTTCCGTTCCGGTCCACTCGGGGCGGCCTTGCTGACCTCTTCAGAACACACTTCTTCCTGAATGCTGGCAACCTCTGCAATCTTGACTATGGTCAGTGTGTCTTTCTAAACTCCTATGCCTGGTATTGCACACACGTTGCTAAGGCAGGCTATACCAGTCTAAACAGTTGTATGCAGATGTTTGGGCGCCCCTGGTCAAATGACACATTTTGTTGATTTTCTAAATGAAAATAAGTGAACACGTCCTCTACAGAGAACACACTTGTGCACATTTTAATGCACAGTTACTGCTTACTTGCTGAATTTAACATGAGGGGGAAAAAAATAAAATTATGCCAACATTATGGAACATTTTATATTTTATGTTTATTTTTTTCAGTATAATATAATATATAATATTACACATATATTATATAACATAGTATAATAAATAGAAATGTGCAGAAAATGTTTAACTTGAATTAGAAAATCAACACATGTAATTTGACCAGTGGGTCCCTGTCCAGAAAAACGTGTATCTCCATTTTTTGTGATTTTCACTTTTCTACATCATTTGACCACGGCAGCCATCCTTTACATTGTGTGGAAATTTCGTGATGAATGGACCAATTAAAATGCACTAAAATTGCTTAGAAAAAATCTCTTTCTGTTGACTAACATTAACAGTAAAGAATGTTTTTGCCGTCTCCTGTAAAGTTACTATTTTGGAGATGTTTATCTTTAGACAGCGACGATATGCATTTGCATATGCATAAGCACTCAGAACTATTTGGGGTACTGAAAGACCACCTGGTGGTAAGTTCTATAAAAATCTAGAAGTAAGAGAAGTGCTCTTACAAGCTGCCTGACAGCCTGTTTGACTTAGCACCGATGAAATATACATTTCTGGCTTGTGTGTTCAGGGGAGGGTCCACACGCACACTTGCAGAAGCTAGCAGAGTGCATCCGCTGGTCCTACGGAGCTGGCATCATACTTCGGCTGGGGAACATCGCAAGATTAGAGCTAAATTATTGCATTCCCATGGGTGTCCAGAGTGGAGACAGGTAAGAGTGTAGTCTGTAGGTAATTGGCTGTTCACACGGTTTATGTTCATCCATTTCACAGAAACAGTGAAGGAATTATAGGCAGGTTTATGGTTTATGTAGTCTTACTAGTGGTGTCACCGTATGTACATCAATATAATTTTTGATACAGGGGTTGTGAGATTATACGAGCCATGAATCGAAAAAAGTTTGATTCCATGCTATAAACCATGTGAAAACGGGAATGGTTTCTGTAGTTTTCCTTAAGACAATCCATGATATTCCAAGCAGTGATAACCACAAACTTACGTTTTTTTAAATTAAAACTGGTTTGGTTATCTTAGTTATCTTAACTTCAGTGGTTGATGAGCCAAGCTGTTTGAAGTGGTAAGCAGAGAAAGAAAGCTTTAGCTGGAACAAGCGAAATCATCCTCGCTTTCATCTGCTGTTTGGGAACACTTTGGTTTCCCAGTTGAGTCCAGGAACGATGGGCAAACAGTGGTGGATCAAACGGTGACCGTGTGCCATTATTATGAGCTATAATAACACATGTTGGCCAAAACACATGCAATATGTAATACAGATTGTGTACCTTTGCTAGTATTCTTTATTTGTTTTATGTCTTCTAACAAGCATTGTTGTCTTTTTGGGACAACAGTGGGAATTACAAAGAAAAAAGTTATGGGAATTACCAAAAAATCAATAAATGTCAAAGTTATATTAGCATTTCTTTACAAACTCTGTATCATATCATGATGCAAAAATGACATATCGTATCGTGAAAATTGGGTACTGTTGCAGCCTCAAGTCCTACTATTTCAGATGGCCATTTGTAATTAATACTATAATGTACTGTTATTGTCAGTCATAACTCTAATAAGTCATAACTCAGTCATCACTCTAGCAGGAGGGCAGCATCGTTAATTTAACGTACTTTGAATTTATGTACTTTTTATTAACATACTTTGAAGCATCTCATTTCGTTAATACTGCAAGATGCTGTTATTTTCAGTCATGACTCTTTATAACAGTCATAACTCAGTCGTCACTCTAGCAGGGGGACAGGGTGGTTTATTTAATGTACTTGGAAGCACTTCAGTTTACGTTGGTGCACACTTGGTCTTTAGTTGTTTTGTTTTCCTTTCTTCTGTTTTGTTAATATATGTGCTTGCCAGCTGGTTTTATTCCTTTTTCCACTCCTTATTTGTGTTTAATGTAATTTCATTTCCCTGTGAAGGATATGTGACGGCGTGCAGTTTGGAGCAGGGATCCGTTTCCTGTGACGTCATCAGCTGCTGCTCTGGTTCTGAACCCAAGTATTGTGGGATAGGAGGCGAGCCGTGTGTAGTATGTTAGAATGTGAGACACTAAGAAAAGGATCCCTCCTGCATGCACAATTTGAGGGGCTCTACCTTCTTCGTCTAAGGACACAAGATGACCTCACAGTTCTTGGTTTTCTTACATACCTTTCAGATTGGACTTTATGATGATAAGAGATGAATAGATAGTAACCAGCGTTATCTCCAGTCCGTCAGATGTGTCATGTCATTGAGGGATGTGCTTGCACTTGTTTGTTGTAGTGAAGCGCCTGTGATTCCGTTTTTTCCGTTTTTTTTCCCCCAATATTATAAGATATCAGCCATAATGGGCTTCATCGTCCCTGTTACATACACTACGTTAGTTGTGTTGAAACTCACCTATCAGGTACTGACAGTTGAATGCGTAGACAGAGAGCATTAAAGGAGAAGAGGGTTGTCGCACTTTGACTACGTTCACATTACAAGCCCCATTGCTCAAATCCGATCTTTCTGACACGATGGTTCACACTCGTTTAGGTAAGTGATTTAAATCTGTCGTTAATGTGAACGAACCGGCGTCCTGAAATGACCCACATACGCACATCCTACTCGGTAACGTTACGTGAATGAATCACATGCGTCACGTTCACCATCAGCAAACAAACTAACGAGCAGAACGAGCTTCGCTGTGAAGATAATTAACTCTGATCAGCTCTCAGCTTCATTATTAGAGCGAGACGAAGGCGAAAAAGGTGAGATGTGTTGCTTTTCCACTGTTTACAGGCTTTAACTTCTGGTTGGCGCTGTTGCCATGGTAACGCTGAATGATGGTGTATGCGCAGTGGAAAAAAAGCACATGAATTCCGATCTTAGCGTCACATGAAAGTGGCTCAGGTCGGATTTGAAAAGATCAGATTTGCGCGTCCACACAGCTCTGAAAACATCAGATCTGAGTCACATTAGGGCAAAAAATCGGATTTGTGCCGCTTCTACCTGGTAATGTGAACGTAGCCTTTATAAACCTAATGCAGTTCTCCTGTAGTCATGTGTTCCTGCCAGTTAATGGAAACACCTTTTCCGTGTTGTCAGTGAAGTGGTCCACTCTTCTCATGCCAAACTACATATATGAATTGACTCAGACTGACTTTAGTACAGACGTCCAGAGAGGCCATGAGATCATTATTTTGTGAACAAAGTTGTTATCTTGAGATCACAAGATAATTAATTTGTTATCTTAAGAAAACAATCCAGAAAATTGTAGCAACAGCTCATGGCCTCTCCAGACTTCCGTGTCGGTCAAGAGTTGGTTTCTTTTTCTTCTGTAGCCTTTATGGGATGGAGTTCAAAGCCCTATTGGAGATCCACCAGCAGTGCTCTTATTGTAAGTCCTCTTTTTAATGTCAGAACTGTTATGTTATTATATTGTTTTGTGCACAGGAATAAAATACTTTTGTTCCCTGATCTTGTTTGAAATTATGAGATGCTTACCTAATAGACTTACCTGCATTTAGAACTTTCCTGAAGTGTCCACAGGACGCTGTTGGCTGGATATTTTTGGTTGGCAAACTATTCTTAGTCACTGAGGTGTTTAAAAACTCCAGCAGCACTCCTGTGTCTGATCCACTCATACCAGCGCAACACACTAACACACCACCACCACGTCAGTGTTACTGCAGAGCTGAGAATGATCCACCACCCAAATAGTACCTGCTCTGTGGTCCTGTGGGGGTCCTGACCATTGAAGAACGGTGAAAAGGCGGCTAACGGTCTGTAATTGTAGAACTACAAAGAACTACAAAGCAAGAGGAAAACCTCTATAAGGCAGAGAAAATCTGTCACAAAGTCTGATCAGTTAGTGTTTCAGTAGGAACAGTGACTGAAGTGACATCTGCATTTAGACCTATGAGATGTCAGTAAACCGTGTTGGACATATTAGTCAAAAAAAAGTGAACATGATGTTTGTCTACAGTTACACAGAGGAATGTTTATAGTATATCAGTGCATAAACCCCTCAATACAAAGACAAATTCAGTGGTGTAAACACCATCGGCACTGTTCTACAGATGTCTGATGAGGTCACATAAGTCGTCCTTCACCATATTCTCCACAAGTGGGCTAGTGAATATGTGGTGTACACCATAACAGTACAGGCTTGAACACATCGCCCCTACAGTGAGGGAGTCTAGTAGTTCTGTTAAGCTGTGGGGACATTTTGCCAGCATGGTTTGGATCCACTTGTCCCCTTAGAAAGAAAGTTAACTGCAGATCAGTACAGTTATTCTGCCTGAACACCTTTATCCTATGATAAGACATTTCGATCCTGATGGGAGTCGTCTCTTCATGATGACAATGCCCATTCAGAGGGCATGACGAGTTTCATTGTTGATGTAAATCATATGCTGTGGCCTTCACAATCGCCAAATCTCAACCCAGTTGAACACCTATGGGAAGTTACGGACCAGTGTGTTGGCACACTCCACCATCATCAAAGCTCTGAGGGAATATCTTTTGTTAGCAGAGTTTTCCATCCTTCAGCACAGTTTCAGAAAGTAGTAGGATCCATGCCAAAGTGCACTGAAGCTGTTCTGGCAGCTTGTGGTGGTCAAGCACTTTAGGCTATTCCAATGACAAAATTTTGGTTAATACACCATTAAGCACCATGGATCTTTCTCCAGGGTGGTGGTTCCCAAGGGCCCTGAGGGTTGGATTGGGAACCACCACCCTGGAGAAAGGTCCATGGAAGAATACTTGGTGTCTTCAAGGGTGTCATAAAGATCAATTCTGGGCAAAAAAAGGTTGTTGTTGATATTCTGATGTTATTATTGTTGATTTTTAAATATATTCTGCCCCATGGAGGGAATCATGAACACCAGTACAAAGAAACTGAAAGCCAGAAACACATAAATACACTGGGCCTCATTTATCAACTGTTCTTAAGAAAAACTTTCTTCTTAAAACCCACTTACACAGCTTTCATGAAGATTCTGACTTTCACCTATGATTTCTTATTTGGGATTTGTTTTTAGGTAAGAACAGAATCTACACACTCAAGAGCACAAAGATGCGAACAATTCTACGGTTTAAGAACGTCATGAATGTGACGTAGACTTTTTCTTAGGATCTTTCTCAAGAACAAGTTCAAGAAAAAACATAATATATGGGTGAATGAGGCCCAGTGACCTCAGCCTAGCTTATACTAAAGCTAAAAGGTCAATGCACAATAGCTTTACGTGATTCAAGAGCCCATCATAACACAGAAGTGCTGTATCGTATTTTGCCCAGAGCAAGTCTAGCACTTCTTTGGTATCAGTGTCATGACCCCAGTTAATCTTTGCACTGTGAGAACCTGACTCTGTCAGCTCGGTGTGACTGAGGGCAGAATGCCGTCAGATTTGAGGTAATTTATAGTGCTGAGAGTCAGAACAGGTGCACTTATCTGATTCCAGAGAGAGGTTTTGCCACGATCTCCATAGGAAAGAGTATCGCTTTCAAGTTTTCTAATAACCCTCCAGTTTGTTTTAACATCAGATTGTGCTCCCTTAGACGAGTAGTTATGTTAAAGCTTATGTTGATACAGTACCAGGGGCGTAGCCAAGGGGTGGCCAGGGGTGTCCTAGAGAATAGGCCCTTCTGGCCACTCCACTTATGCAAAGTGAGACAGTCGGCCAGCATCAATAAAGCTGTCACCAGAGAAAAGCTGCCCTGCCTACCTGGTGTGAACGCTATGATTTATAGCAAACAATCTGCCATCAGGACAGTTCAGAGTCAGTTGTGAAAATGTGGGACCAGATTCACAAAAGTGTTTTAAGAAAAAAACTTCAATTTGTGTTTTTTCTTAACTTCATTCTTTTTCTTGACTATTTTCTTAAGAATAATTCTAAGAACATGCGGTATTCTTAGAAAAAATAATGCTCGTAAATGTTTTTTAAACTTACCATGGTCTCACACTTGCCTTAGGCTGTAAGAGCTGACAAGATCAGCATCTAAATTAATCAAACATGGACGCTCTGCTGCTGCTGCCCATCCTCGTCTCTTGCTTTCTGCCATCACTCCACCATTATTGTATCTTCCAAGCAGAATGTTTTTTTCTGTTGACTGTTTCTTCCACCATCACCTCTAGTTCTTGTTTGCTAAATGCTTTTAAACACGTTTGTTGATGTATTTTCTCCATTTTGCTCCTCTGAGTGGATCAAACAATGGAAATAGTTCATACAAATTAAAAATGTATCTGGTGGCATTTATAATACGCTGTAAAATGCACCACAGCCTACATAAGAAAACAATGAAGATTTTCTTAAAAATCTTAAGGAACTAATTAAGATTATTTTAAGAGAATGTTTGAGAACTTAAGTTTTTTTGAGAATTGCATTTAAGAACATTCTTATGAACTTCTTAGTGTTTGTCTTAAGAACCTTCACAGTTTTTTCCTAAGAAGCTTTCATGAATCCGACCTCGATGACTCAATAATCAGCTTAGCTTGCTGTGATGGGCTACTTTGGCTAGATAAGTTAAGTCTAGTCAAAACCGTAACACTAGTCTTGTTTACATTGCTTAAAGGGGACTTCCACCAATTTTTCAAAATTTCTGCATAATTCAGTAGGTCAGGCGTAAACATAGTGTGGTTTGATGTGAAATGGTTCAGAAAAACCAACTAACCTGATTGACAAAAGTGTCTTGAGAAAGAAAATTTCTTAAATGTGCCTTTTCTCTTAACTTCATACTTAAAGAAGTTAAAATGTTATTATACTTCAAAAAACTTTCTTTTAAGAAGTTTCTTTCTTAACTCTTAAGTATTACATGTTTTTAATATTTTCTTACCCTTACGACAGTCTCACACTAGTCTTACATTGTAAGAATTGACAAGGTAAACCTCATAAACTTCCAATGAGTGAGAAAAAATATAATCATTAAAACTATTTTCTGGTAATCTGTAAAAAGTAACGTGATATTGATAGTCTATATGGCAACCTAACCTATTTGACAGTATAACCTATATTGTGTATACAGTGTAACCTGTATTTATGAACATTTTTATTCACTTCTTAGTGTGTCTTAAAATCCTTTCTAAGTTTTTTCTTAGGAAAGCTTTCATGAACGAGGCTCTTGGATTTCTTTACAGTGGTGTTGATGGGAACCAGAGGTCTTGAAGTCTACACAACTAAATAGCCCAAAATGACCAGGGAGCCTAAAAGGATGTAACGTTGGTAAAATTGTCAAAGAAATCGGACAAATTATGTTTTCTTGTTTTCTTTTAAGACTAGTTTTCATCTCTCCATGTTATAATATAAAATATATGTATATAAAAACTCCAGCAGCACTGCTGTGTCTGATCCACTCAGACCAGCACAACACACACTAACACACCACCACCACATCAGTGTCACTGCAGTGCTGAGAATGATCCACCACCCAAATAGTACCTGCTCTGTGAGGGTCCATGGGGGTCCTGACCACTGAAGAACAGGGTAAAAGGGGGCTAACAAAGTATGCAGAGAAACAGATGGACTACAGTCTGTAACTGTAGAACTACAAACTGCACCTATATAGTAAGTGGAGCTGATAAAATGGACAATGAGCGTAGAAACAAGGAGGTGGTCATCATGTTATGCCTGATCGGTGTATTCTCTATCAATCTGAAGAACAATTTTACCATGCAAAGAACGTCATGAAAAGGTTCTATATAGGACTCATGGCTCTAAATAGAACCATTCCCTTTACTAAAGAACCCTTGAAGAACCATCTATTTTGAGAGTGTAGTGACTGAATAGTAATAGCAGCAGTAGCAGTTCAGCAATAGCAGTAAGAACACAAGCATTATATCCGCTGTACGAGTAGAACAGAAACTTCAGTTCTCCATATCCATTCATGCTGCACAGTCAAGAGAGGGGGACGCGGTTACGCGCATTCGCCTCCAGGTCACGCGCATTGCATAAGCGCCCCGCTTTTTAATTAACTGTCGCCCCGCAAAACGGGAGATAATGCGTCACTGTGCGCACCATACAGAGAAAACCTCACACAGTCGCACACGTTTTACCCGCTAAATGCATTTTTTCTTTGACTCACTGGTGTGTATGCTAAGGAGTCCACGCGCGGGCGCGCACGCACAGCCTGGCGCGACGTCCGTCATCCACTCTGAATCAGAATTGGTTCAGTTCGACTGAATTCAGCGAACCGACTCTTACGAACGAGCCGATTCACTGAATCCAACTACCAATTCATCGATTCACTGATTCACAAATTAAGCCAATTACAATCCTCCTTTCCTTCATGGACAATTAGATTCGATTCAGTGAGTCGACTTTTTATCTCCTTCTTTATCTCAGCCTGGAAATCCGATCAGAGACCGAATCTACCTCCTGCACTCAAGTCAAACTCGAAACAAAACACAAATTTTACTGGAGGTCTTCAGCCTAACATTACAGTCATATGTGAAAGTTTGAACACACAGTCAAATGACATTTTGTTGATTTTCTAGGTGAAAATGAGTTAACACTCTCAAACTTAGGCCTAAATATGCCTGTTTTAGTGCACAATTTCGTTTATTTATGTAAAAAGTGCCATAACTTTTACACAGGCCATATTTTTTTATTTGATCTCTTTTTCCATTGGGTTCATTTTAGCTAATAAACTGTGCATTGTGCATTAAAATGTGCAAACACGTATTTTCAATACACTCTTAAAAAAAGATAGTTCTTCAAGGGTTCTTTAGCAAGGACAATAGTTCTATATAGAACCATGAATTAGAACCATTTCATACTTAAATGATTCTTTGCATGGTGAAATGGTCCTTCAGATTGATGGAGAATGTGTTCATGGTTTTATATAGAACCAAAAATGGTTCTGCTATTGTTACGATGCTTCTCACAATAAGAACAAGAACGCTTTTTGGTGCTGTATAGAACCATTTTCAAAAAGGTTCCGTACAGCAGCATATACAACACGTTCTCCATCAATCTGAAGAACCATTTCAGCATGAAATGCTTCTATATAGAACTCATGGTTCTAAATACAACAGTCACCTTCGCTAAAGAACCCTTGAAGAACCATCTTTTTGAAAATGAGTAGAGTATATATCTGTTTTCACATGTAACCTACTCTGGCCAAGTGAGCCCAAACTTTTGCACACGGATGCAGACAGTGAGCAAATGCACAAAAGAAACCGGTTGATTCATTTGAACCTGGTGAATCAGGTGAATGAGTTCGAACGGCTTATTGAAAAGAATCGATTCAAACGAACGATTCGTTGGCGAGTCGGACATCGCTCTTCAGAAAGCAGGTGTGCGCGTCTCAGAGCCCACTGCTGAGTTCGGCTCTTCAGATTTGTGGATTTTGCAGGGGTTTAGCCATGCTGAGGGCGGCCAACACGATCCGCAGGACCTTTTCTACAAGCTCCGTGAGTATTTGATGGCTAACGTGGCGCTGTCTTTGGTCGCTGTTAGCCGTGAATGGAAAAGGCAGTATCTAAGAGCTGAATGAATGAATGAATGAATGAATAGGAACGAGGCTTAAGTCAGCTTCCTATTCGCCAGCTCCTTGTTCGAATTTCCCCGTTCCACCTTAAATGGTGCAGCAGAATGTGACTGCAGAATGTAACTGCTGCACCATTTAAGGTGGAACGGGGAAATTCGAACAAGAAGCTGGCAAATAGGAAGCTGAATCCAGCTTCGTTACAGTTTTGGGTGTTGGGGTTTAAATCCCCATCAGAAGCAGTGGAGCAGACCGTGCTTCTGTTCATAGCTTCGTGGCTTCCAGAGCGCTGCCGCCGCTCGCCACGTTGCCGGACTCGGGAAGCCTGCAGTCGGATTACTTCCAGTAGACAGCCCCCTCGGCGAGTTGCATCAGCAAGGGGCGAAAAGCTCAGGCCGTATCGGGTTACAGAATCCTCCGTGCAAGTCTGCGGGTCCAGAGGCGTTCCTAGCTGCTGTGACAACATCCAACACGTCTTCATGTAAATAGTGGCAGTGTGTTAGCCCTCAGAACGGCGGTGGCCGGAAACGGCTGGCCTTTCGTTGCAACATTTGGCCATTCTTCCCACACCCACACCTCTCTGTTATCTCAGTGGAGTGGCTTAACCATCTGTTACTGAGAGGCAGGCTTTACAAGGCGCTCCGCTCTTATCATGGGCGTTATTTCATGGAAACTTGTGGTGCTGATGGTCATGAAACCGCTGTTATACTCAGTGTACCTCATTCAGTCTGACAGTACTGTTATATTCAATGTATTCCATTTAAACAGACACCACTATACGGAGCCCTGCTGGTGACATCCCGTATAAACAAACATAATGTGTGGCCACGACTTAGTAAGGCATGGGAATGAGATAATTAAATTGTGGCCACGACTTAGTAAGGCTTGGGAACAAGATCCTAATGCATGGCCACGACTTAGTAAGACGTGGAAATGAGATAATTAGGTCATGGCCACAATTTGGTAAGGCATAAGATAATTAAGTAATGCCCATGACTTAGTAAGGCATGGGAATGAGATAATTAAGACTTGACCACAGCTTAATAAGGCAAGATCTTGTTTCCACGCCTTACTAAGTCGTGGCCACGACTTAATTATCTTATTTGCTCTTACTAAGTCATAGTCATGCATTAAGATCTGGTTCCCGCATGTTAATACAGTGTGACCACGCATTATTGTTATTTATACTGGATGTCACCAGAAAGACTATTGTACACAGTGCACCTCATTCACTCTTAACAACACTGTTATGCTCAATATACTTAATTCAGTCTTGTTTCGTTTATTACACACAAAAAGTAATTTATTACACACATAGAAATGTGTAATAAAAGTTTGGGCTTGCTGACAGGCCCTGGCCATGTAAGCAGTTAATCTGAGAACACCGTTATACTCAATAAACTTCATTCAATCTGACACCACTGCTATTCTCAGTATACTCTATTCAATTAGACACCACTATACTGTATACTCAGTACGATAAGATAAGATTAGATAAGATAAGATAAGATTAGATTAGATAAGATAAGATAAGATAAGATAAGATAATCCTTTATTAGTCCCACAATGGGGGAAATTCAAAATACTCTTATTTAATCTAATACTACTGTTATTCTGTAATACTACTGTAACACTACTGTAATACTACTCTATTCAATCTAATACTACTGTTATACTCAATATTGATACTTCTTTAAATTATACACCATCGTTATATTGAATATTCTTACTTCATTCAGTCTGACAACACTCTTCATTCAACTTCATTCAAGCTGAGGCCACTGTTATACTCGATATTCATACTGCTTTCAATCTAACACCACTGCTGCACTTAGTATGCCTCATTTAGTCGAAAGCACTGCTATTTTTGTAAACATCATTCAATCTGACACCAGAGTTATACTGTTCATTGTTATACTCAGTATACTTTATTCAGTCTGACTCCACTGTTACTTAATGTTGAAGACTTTACTACACATGAATTAGCTTCTTATGGCCTTCTAGACCTTATAAAGCTGCAGGTTCTTCCAAGCAAGGTTTCTTTTTGCCTGCAAGGAGGTTCGTTCCACTCATTTCATATTTGTCCAGCTTTCTGGCATGCTGAATGAAAGTGATCCACCCCCATCTCGTGTTTCTTCACACAGGCCTACTACCAAAATAAACTGAAGCTGGCCCTGATTGGCCAGAGCCTCTTTGGTCAGGAAGTGTACACAAACCTCCGGAAGCAAGGCCATAAAGTGGTGGGGGTGTTCACCGTTCCAGATAAGGATGGCAAGGCAGACCCACTTGGTGAGTGACGGAAAGGGGGAGGGGATTTATAAAGGGCAAATGAGGACCCCTGAACTAGAGATGCAAGGTTAATGTTGCCTTCCTGAGGTTAAAGTGCTCTGTGCAGACTGTAACCATGTGAATGAGGCACATGTGAGAGTCAGTGTGGGTGTTTGAGGTGAGTGTGAAGGGGGTTGGGGTCAGAGTAAGGCTTTTGACCAGCTGGTCATGTATAATGACCTCATTGTTTCACAGAAGAGCAGAGGAAAGCAGTGAGGTGAAAAATCCTGTAGCTGCGTGAGTCTTTGATGGCACAAACACACACATCCTTATGGCCTTAAAGCTGAGTGTGTTCTGTGTCCTGTGTGTTTTTCATTCCGCAGAAAGTGGAAAATGTCTGAAGTGACTCATTTTCACTTGAAAAATAAAGCATTTTCTATTTGTTGGGCTGCGTGGTATTAACAAAATACCTGTACTGCAATTGTATTGCTACATATTGTAATTGTGATACTCCTTATTGTACATTAAAAAGGCACTGGTGAACCATTAATGTGACAAAGTTAAAGATCAGCCTGTATCATTTTGACCAAATCTATGTAGATTTATTGGACTACATGACTGTATTGATTCATCAAATCACCCACGCAAGTAAGAAACACTTATCTAGAACTGCAATTTGTCTCAATATTTACAGCACACAGTACACAGCATAGTGTTTGGTTTGTGGATTATTTGCATGTTCAAGTTATTGGTGATTTCAGTAGCTCAAAGGCCAATATCGCAGTAATGAATGACAAATGATACATGTGCAGCCAGTTGTCTCTTACTGATAGAGAACACACCATAACAATAATCAATAATCAACAATGCACTGTTAAAAATGGGAGGACAGCTCAGCTTAAAAAGATATTGTAACCAATTTCATGGCTTTTCTTGAGTGGACTCAACTTGAGGACACAAGACTTCACACAACTCAAACTTCATAGTTGAGTCAAAAAATCTTTTAGTTTTTAGTTCTGCATCTCAGTGATTTAAATAAAATGAACTTGTTTTTTATACTCAACTTCCCCTCTAGACAGGACTTTCTCCATCACACAATCCTGCTAGACATTTTTCCTCTTGAGTACACACTTATAGATGGCTATGTCATCGCTGGGGCTCAAACCCACAACCTCCTGTTGAGGTGACGGCTTGGTCCACTGCACCACTCAGGAAAACACATGAAACAACTCAGATTTTGTGTCTACAAAGGTTTAAAACACTGGAGAAAATATTTGTTGTGTTAAATTTAAAGCATGGTGTCATTCCATGTGGTATAACTGTCCAATAATTCATCAAAACATCAGGAGATTGTGATCACAGCTGTCCATATCTGGAAGCCCAAGAGGAAAATATGCCAGATGGGACTGTGTGACAGAAGGAGCGCCAGCTAGAGGGGAAAAACACAGATTCAGTTTTGTTTATCTAACTGAGATGCAGAGCTAGAAACAGTAGCTGAGAGAATTTTTGACTCCACTAAGAAGTTTGAGTTGTGTGAACTCTTGTGTCCTCAAGTTGAGTCAACTCAAGAAAAGCCATGTAATCAGTTACTATATCATTTTAAGTTCAGCAGACTTCTCATTTTCAATTCAATTCAATTCAGCCCTCTTCTCAACAGTGATCTTCCCAGACTAGTTTTTATTCTCTGATGCATTTTCACAAATCTGGTTAATAAAGTCAGTAAATTTGATAAATAAAAGATTTCCCAAGCCAAAAAGTATCTATTAGTAATCTACTAGTAATCTATTCTTCTCCACAATAATGTGATTCCTCAGTGCTGCTGTTGCATTTACTATGATATGCAAAGAACACAGTCTAACAAAATTCATAGATGGTAACACCTCTGCCTTCTACGCTGTAGACTGGGGTTTAATCCCTGCCTGGGTAAGCACCCTACAGTATACCAATCAGAGTCCTTGGGCAAGACTCCTAACACTACCTTCGCCTACCTGTGTGACGTTATCAAATTGTAAGTCGCTCTGGATAAGAGCGTCTGCTAAAATGCCGTAAATGTAAATCATGCTTCTTTTACACAGTGATAGAAAACATAGGAGCACACAGAAAGCTGCAGTTCCACATGCTGATCCATTTTACTCTGACCAGCATGGACTTGCACACATTGCAGCCAGTCTGGTTGCATATTTTAATGAGTTGAAAGGGACATCGCTGTGATGTCTGATTGAATTGCCAGTGAACTTTTAGGCTATGATACGGTTAAACAGATCGACCAGCTCCCAGTCCCACAACAGGCATGGTGATTGTTTTGTAGCCGATCCAAACCGGCTGCCGGTTCACAGCTCTGCCGATGTCCTCAACTCACCACATTTTTTGGCACCAGCCTGAGATGGTTTCTGTTATGCTGTTATTATGGACAGATATGGCTGTGTTATTAAGAGAATAGGAAAGTCTGCTGAGCTCAAGAAAGGTTTCTGTCTTTATATTTATTCTCTGGCGCGGTATCTGAGCCAGCATGGCCAGAGACTGAAGGGCCTGAATGAAGCGATTGTTGTGCAGCATTGTGCGCTGGTGTAGAAGGACGCCTGATACTCATGGATTGTGCTCGGCTCTCTGTGAAGTCTCCACAGGCAGTGTTTCAGATCCTTTCACACTATCATTTTATTTGGAGCCGTTCATGATTTATGACGTGGTTCTGAGCATGCATGACTGTAGAACAGCCAGGATTACTGCAGCGAACTGGATAAAAGTGGAACACATACATCCTACATCCTAAGGCTTATTATTCAGTAGCTACATTGAAAACAATGCAAACTAAAGAGTTTTTTTCTCAGGTTATAGGAGTAAAAAAGAGAAGCCTGGACCTGCAAGTGGGTCCCAGTCAATACAGTCTATATACAGTGACATGAAAAAGTAACGACACCCTTTAGTATTTACCCATTAGGGTGATGTTTTCATATTGGCATGCAATACCCTTTTACCCAAATACATAGTGCCCTTCCCGAAAAATTCAGTTTTAGTTTCAACGGTCCACAAAACATTTTCCCAGAGTGTCAAGGTGCTCTTTGGCAAACTTCAGGCCATGGACACAATGCCTGTTTAATGTTTTTGGTAGAGTGAGTTAGGTTACCCTTTATTAGTCCCACAGTGGGGAAATTCGTCTCCGCATTTAACCCACCTGTGCAGTGAAACACCACATACACGCTAGTGAACACACACACTAGGGGGCTGTGAGTAGCCCTATCCACAGCACCCAGGGAGTTTGGGGTTAGGTGCCTTACTCAAGGGCACTTCAGTCACGTACTGTCGGCTCAGGGGACCGAACTGGCGACCTTTCGGTCACAAGGTTGGTTCCCTAACCTCCAGCCCACGACTGCCTCGTAGTATACTCATGAACCGAGATGTTAACCAGTTCCAATGATTTCTTCAACTCTTGTCTTCTCTTTACTTCATTGAGCATGGTGTCTTTGTAGTGATCTTGGCTGGGCACCCATTTCCAGGCAGAGAAGACACGGCACTAAATCGTCCACATTTTTATGGACAGTTTGCCCAACTGTAGACAGATAAATAAACTCTTTGAGATCGCTTTGTAAGCCTTTCCAGCTTCATGCAACTCAACAATGGACGATTGATCGTAGGTCTTCTTAGATCTTTTTTTGTGAGGGATGGCTCACATCAGCAGATGCTTCTTAGGCAAGCAAACTAAACTGTTTGTGGTTTTTATAAGCCAAAGTAGCTCTAACCCACTCCTCCAACCTCATCTCATTGATTGGACTCCAGGTTTACTAACTATTGACTTCAGTTAACCCTTTAAAATCCCAGGCTTATTACATACTAAGGCTTATTATTCAGTAACTACAGGGACTTCATTACAAACTAGTTGAGTCATTTTTAATAGAACTGTGTAATAAAACTTTGGACTTGCTGGCAGGCCCTGGCCATTTAAAGGGGGTTAACTTCTGTCGGGGTCATTAGCCTAGGGGTTCACATATTTTTTTCAACCCACACTGTAAATGTTTAAATAATGTGTTCAACATGGACAAGAACAGTACATTATTTTTGTGTGTTGTGCAGTTTAGATTGTGTTTGTTCTTTATTGTAACTTAAATAAAGACCAGCCCTTAATATGTAAATGCAGGCAATTTCTACAGAATTCATATATATATACGCATATATTGTAAAAATAAATACAAGAAAAGTGTATCATGTGGGCCCCTTAAGGAAGAATGCTCCTGTAATTTTTCAGCATGTTTTAAACCTGTCCTTATTTAATTCTAAATACGCTGAACCTTTTTTGCTGTTCATAGTATACACCGATCAGGCATAACATTATGACCACCTCCTTGTTTCTACGCTCATTGTCCATTTTATCAGCTCCACTTACTATATAGGTGCACTTTGTAGTTCTACAGTTACAGACTGTAGTCCATCTGTTTCTCTGCATACTTTGTTAGCCTCCTTTTACCCTGTTCTTCAGTGGTCAGGACCCCCATGGACCCTCACAGAGCAGGTACTATTTGAGTGGTGGATCATTCTCAGCTCTGCAGTAACACTGACGTGGTGGTGGTGTTTTTGTGTGTTGCACTGGTGCGAGTTGATCAGACACAGCAGTGCTGCTGGAGTGTCCACTCACTGTCCACTCTATTAGACACTCCTACCTCGTCAGTCCACCTTGTAGATGTAAGGTCAGAGACGATAGCTCATCTGCTGCTGCACAGTTTGTGTTGGTCATCCTCTAGTCCTTCATCAGTGGTTACAGGACGCTGCCCACAGGACTCTGTTCACTGGATATTTTTGGCTGGTGGACTATTCTCAGTCCAGCAGTGACACTGAGGTGTTTACTCCAGCAGCACTGTTGTGTCTGATCCACTCAGACCAGCACAACACACACTAACACACCACCACCACCACATCAGTGTTACTGCAGTGCTGAGAATGATCCACCACTCAAATAGTACCTGCTCTGTGAGGGTCCATGGGGGTCCTGACCAATGAAGAACAGGGTAAGTATGCAGAGAAACAGATGGACTACAGTCTGTAACTGTAGAACTACAAAGTGCACCTATATAGTAAGTGGAGCTGATAAAATGGACAATGAGCATAGAAACCTGGAGGTGGTCATAATGTTATGCCTGATCGGTGTATGTGTCTCAGTACAGTATTAGTCCATGAGTCTAATAGTTCTTATTAGTTTTATATTACTAAGGTGTATCAGCTGGAGTTATTGTGGCATGCTGTCCGAGAGGCATGCTGTGCTACTCAGCTGAAGAGGTAGACTAGATTTTCCACGTCCACTCCGCCTTGCTGTTTGAGCCCATTTTCCATACCACGTGCAGAAGCTGGTGAATGGAAGTGGATACTTTTTTTGGCAGTACAGTTTAGTTTTTGTGTGGCTGCCTGATTCGTTCCTGCTGTGAAAAACGTTCTCTGGCAGACAGTGGTACTGTGTGTCCTTAACTGACCTAATGCACTTTCTTTACCTTGTCCCTCAGCTGTGGCGGCGGAGAAGGACGGCACACCGGTGTTTAAGTTCCCCCGCTGGCGTGTGAAAGGGAAGCCAATCCCCGAGGTGGTGGAGACTTACAAGGCTGTGGGCGCTGAGCTCAACGTCCTGCCATTCTGCTCCCAGTTTATCCCCATGAATGTGATCGACCACCCCAAACACGGCTCCATCATCTACCACCCATCCCTCCTCCCGAAACACAGAGGAGCCTCTGCCATCAACTGGTGAGAGTCACGTATGACATCCATGACATTAGCTTTGCCTAACTCTTTACTCTTTAGACTCAGTCTTAGGCGGTCCATCCACACGGAGTATCCGATATCTCTTGCATGCTAGGCTGGCCACCACTATTGGAATTCTGTCATTTCCAATCTGATCACCACTCTGCACTTTCGTGTACAAGCACTTCCACGCATGTTTTTAGCAGCCCAACAGAAAAAAAAAGTTTTGCAACCGGTTGCCCCCTCTGCACTCCGTAACCAGAGGTGGCAGATGTCCGCTTTAAGTTGAAGTGCAAGTACTGTCGTAAAAATACTCTGGTAAAAGTTATGGTTTACCTTTTTTTACTCACGTAAAAGCACATGCTCCTAAAAGTAAAGTATTTATTATCTAGTAATTTTTTTTAAAGTGTGTTCTTTATTGAATATTAATTAGATGTACGCAACCAAGACATTGAGCGTGAATAATGTTTTATGAAACATCTGCATGCACCATCTATAACTCGTGTGTCAAACACAAGGCCTGTAGGCCCGCAAGTTATTTTAACTTTCCATTAATATTAGCCCTTTTCACAATGCGCTGCACTACAAACCCCAGCATGCATCTGTAGCTTATGTTGTGTGTATACATATATGTATGTAGTTGTAGCACATATATATATATATGTGCTACAAGTGCCTGTCTATATTTTGCTATATTATTTTGCAGTTTTGGCATGCTTTGAATTAATTAATTTATTAATTACAAATGAAATAAGAAAATAGGCGTTCTCTGATCCATGGATTTGTTGTGATCTTTTTAATCTGGCCCTTTTAGTGGTTGAGTTTGACACTCCTGATCATGCAAATCAAGATAAAAGAAATGGCAGATTTTGGGGATTTGGATGGGGATCTGTTCATCTTCCACCTTCTAGTTTCTCATCTAGTAGGATTTTCATTTGCTAATAATTTGGTGCTTGATGAGGTGCCTAAACAGAAGTTGCCTATTACTCAACAGAAATGCTGTAATAAAGTACAGATACTTAAAAAAATTTACTTAAGTATAGTATAAAAGTAGTAATACTTTATTACTTCCCATGTCTGCCTGTAAAAACAGTGAACGCTTCAGAGCAAGATATAATCACTAGATTGATAAAAAGCTTGTGATGTTTGGTCAGTTTGCATGTCAGTGAGGTGGTCCTTTCCTGTCCCAGCAGGTGGTTCTCCTGAAGCAGGCCAAGTAGGCCATGTTAAACAATGAAATGCACCAGACTCTCTGATAACAGGCTTTTCTTATCCACGTACGACCTGATATAATGCAGCAAGATAGACTTTGCTTTGACATTGTTCACTTTCTATCATGATGTTCCATTACGTAATCTCACTAAAGCTAACATCAAGATAATGAATAATTACAGGAAATAATTACAGGGCATTGAAAGTCATATTACAGGGATAAAGTGCGCTGATTTGTAATAAGAGCAAGAAGTGACTGAAGTTTCAGCTGCATCGTGCGACTCCTCCATAGGGTAATAATTTGGTGTAAAATAACCTGTATCTGCTAAATCCTTAGACATCCAGTAATCCAATAATTCCTCTGCAGTTGTTGTCTTTTTGCTGTAATATTTAAGTGTAATAACATGAGTAATTTTCACTCACATAAGTACATTTCACTGACCTTCCACCTGTGTAAATGTGATGTGACAGTAAACATGATTTGATTTGATACGTGATTTGAATTATGTAGTTAAAACAGGAATTAAATTCACTTTTAATTTACTTTTTGTATTAACAGCTTATAACTTTTTTTCTGCTTGTTTCAATTGTAAACAATGATAAAAACATGCTTAAATGTAAAGCACTTTCTTTCAAAAAACAAAACAGAGCACAATAATAATGCTTGATTATATTTAAATCAGAGTAAAATATGTCTGACTTCTATTTCCAAACGTAAATGTGACATTGATGGAAGTTTATAAGCCACACTTTTGACAGAATTTCGAAGTGAGTAAGCAAACATATAAGCAGGTTTCATCTTGACACACACTTTACTGAATGGTGCATCTTCCTGTGCATGAATGGACCATGTTTATGTGTGTGTGTGTGTGTGTGTGTGTGTGTGTGTGTGTGTGTCTGTGTGTACATGCAGGACTCTGATTGAAGGTGATAAGAAGGCCGGCTTCTCCATATTCTGGGCTGACGATGGCTTGGACACCGGTCCTGTTCTGCTGCAGAAGCAATGTGCAGTGGAGCCCAATGACACAGTGGACACGCTGTACAACCGCTTCCTCTTCCCAGAGGGAATCAAGTCCATGGTAGGTACAGCATCAGCCTCCTGTCAAAAGCTGCTTATCGACTGCAAAAACTAATTGAGTGCTGTGATGTAGACACACTGTAAGTCGGATACATGTACATACTGTGTGTGTTTAACAGGTGGAGGCTGTGCAGCTCATTGCCGATGGCAAAGCTCCCAGGATCCCTCAACCCGAGGAGGGGGCGAGTTACGAGGGAATCCAAAAGAAATCTAATGCCAAGGTATCACACACTCACGCACAGAGCTAAATCTGACCAGGCCAGAGGCTGTCAGACTTCTGTCTTACAGTCAGTGCAAACACATGTTTGTAATGCAGGGCTGTGCTAAAGAGCGCTGTGATTGTCAGTGGTACCAAATTAAATAGGGGCCAAGCTCTGTTATTTCATGATATCATGATGGACTTTTGTTTAGCTGTTGACAGATGTGTAAAGGACACTCTAGGCTTAGGTTAAGACTAGGCTCAGCATGTTAATAAGTTAGGGGCAGTTGTGGGTTGGAGGTTAGGGAACCAACCTTGTGACCGGAAGGTTGCTGGTTCGATCCTCTGAGCTGACAGTATGTGACTGAAGTGCTCTTGAGCAAGGCACCTAACCCCCAACTGCTCCCAGGGTGCCGCGGATAGGGCTTTCCACCGCTCCAGGCAAGTGTGCTAACTGCCCCCTAGTGTATGTGGTGTTTCACTGCATGGATGGGTTAAATGCAGAGGTCTAATTCCTCTGTGTGTAAACACAGTTGGCTAATGGTTCTGAATTCAATTTAATATTAACGCCAATAATTTTTTCATTAATGCATTTTACTAGTTTTACCCTTCAAGCCCAGCTGCACGCCCGCTGTATGCTGCTCTTTTACGAATCTGTGATTGTGGCCGCTGGGCTTTTAAATCAGTGCCTTCAGCATCTTCATTTGAATACATTGGACAGCTTGTAGGAGACCTATGGATAAATCAACAAGCAGGAAATCAACCAAAGCAATAGCAAAGTGGAAATCCACAGTTCCTCTTCAGAGCCTCCACTGTAACAAGAATACATGAGCTGTACAAGAGCAAGAGGTCTTCTGTCATGTACACATATAGAAGTTGGAACCATTGACTGTGTACATTATGTGCACTACATGGCCAAAAGTATGTGGACAAATGACCATTACATCTAAATGAGCTTGCTGGATGTTCCATTCCAAAACCATGGACATTGATATAGCCCTGTTTGCAACTCTGATAGCCTGTACTCTTCTAGGAAGGCTTTTCACAAGATTTTGGAGTTGTTTGAAGCCCAAACCCTAAAAAACAGCCCCCAACTACTATCCTTTCTCAAGCTTTACTGTTGGCACTGTGCATTCTGGTAGGTACACACTTAAAAATGTTCAAGAATTCTTTAGTAAAGTAGTAGAACTATGAACACTCAAGGAACCCTTTGCATGATTAAAAGGTTCTTTGCATCATTAAATTCTTTAGATTGATGGAGAATGTGCTGTACATGGTTCTATATAGAACCTTTTTAAAAAGCGTTCTATGTAGGTGCCAAAAAGGGTTCTTCTATTGTTACAAACGTCAAGCGTGTAACAATAGAAGAACCATTTTTGGTGCTATGAAGAACACTTTTCAAAAAGACTCTATATAGAACCATGTACAGCACATTCTCCATTAATCTGAAGAACCATTTCACCATGCAAAGAAGCCTTTAATCATGCAGAGGGTTATTTTAGTGTTCATGGTTCTGCATAGAACCATTTTCTTTACTGAAGAACCCTTGAAGAACCATGTTTTTTAAGTGTGTGGTGTTATCTTGACATCCACCAAACCCAGATTTGTCCGTCAGACTGCCAGATTGTAGCCACTATAGCTGTAACAAAATGCACTACGTTTTATATAAGAAAATCTTTCTTTATGGTCACATTTGAGCTAATAAGACAAATTTGAGAAATTTCTTACACAAAATTACTTATTTAAATCATTGGACAGCCGTAAAAATACTATATTTTAATATTGACTCTGAAAGAAAATCACTTGTTGCTCTGTCTTCCTGCACGTTTCTGTGTGCTAAAATAAGAAAGCATCAAATGCAGGACTTGGTTTGGTGGTTTAGATCATAATATCACATGGCAGATCAGCTAATTTTGAAAAAAAAAAAACAGATGTATTCCGAACAAGTAACCAAATAGCTTAATAATGCACGTACTGATGTTTTAGCATTTAAGGTGGATACTGCTGTTTTGGAGATAAGTTGTCATGGCTGTCATGACTGCCAGCGGGCAGTATAGCTGTCTGATCAGTTGATGAGTTCAGAGGCATGGAAAGTTCCCAGACAGGAATGTGTGTGAGAGAGAGAGAGAGAAATACAGTGAGAGTCAGAGGGTTGGGAATATTGCCCAGCGTTCCTGTATATTAGAGTTTAGAGGACTGGAATGCTGTGTTGCAGCCAGCAGCTGTCGCCTTACTACTGCTCTGAAAAAGTAGCTGGAGGGGGCAGTATACTCTGTCATTCTAAACCCATTAACTCCATCGGTGTCTCTCTGTTGTAGGTGAACATGGCTCAGCCTGCCGAAGTTATTCACAACTGGATTCGTGGCCATGATAAAGTTCCAGGAGCGTGGGCTGTCATTGATGGGCAGGTGTGTGCACTCAGTACACATGCAGGAGTTGATACACTTGTAAACACTTATATATCTAAAACCCCGCAGCTCATACAGTCATATGCAAAAGTTGAATACCCTTAGCCAAAATGCTTTGTTGATGTTCTAAGTAAGAATATGCTAACACATCTTCTACAGAGAACACACTGAAACATGAACTTTACCATGCATTTTAGTGCAGAGTTTAATATATAGAAAAAAATGAAACAAAAAGTATAAAATGTGCCATGAGCGCCGTGTGAGATCTTTCTTACCCACTGCTATAAGGCTCTACAATGAGTCTCCTTACGGCAGAGACAGTACTGATCTCCTGCTGTCTGAACTGTGCTGAACCACATCACTATATCTCCTCTCTGATTAATACACACTGTGCAATATATCATAACTATTACTGTAATGACACTTCCACTATGCACTTTACACTGTAATATTGATGCAACTTAGTTAGAGTTAGTTATGTCTATAATATGTGCTTTTAGTTTATCTCATACCAGTCAGTGCCTGCTGTCAGTAAATACAACAAATCTGTCTCATATGCCATGTAAATATGCAAATAGATATACTTTTATTTTATTTCTCTTGTACTTTAACTTACGTCTAGATTTATTTCTATTTTCTATTTTTCTGCATAGTATATCGTCGCTGTCCAATGAAAAACAAGTATCTCCAAAATAGTAACTTTACAGGAGAAGGCAAAAACGTTCTTTACTTTCAATGCAAGTTAATGGAAAAAGCTTTTATTCTAAGCAATTTTGGAACATTTCTGTCGGTCCAATCATCATGAAATTCACACAGTGTAAAGGACAGCTGCTGAAATGATGCAGAGATGCAAAGTAAAAAATGCAAAAAATGGATATGTTTTTCATTGGACAGCAACTATATATAAGTTTATGTGCAATTATATGTCTTGCAACTGAAACACTGCAATTTCCCTCCAGGATCAATAAAGTTCTATCTATCTCTCTAGCTATAACTTTTGCACAGGCAATATAGCAGCTCATATTTGCATACAGAGCACTGATAGGCTCCAGGGATGCTCTGTGGATCTGAATGTACAATGTACAAGACAAAACAGCTAAGCTAAGCGGCTACAGACTCCACAACACTGGACAGAAAAGTTTGTTTGATTAATTACACTTTAATTACACAAGGCCAAGGCGTCATACTACAACCACAACTTTTTCTACTCTATTACATTACATAGTGAGGAACAGGAGGATCACCGTCTACATCTGCTATTATTTAATATTATTGATATTATTAATATTATTTAACATTATATTGCGAGGTGCTCAACATTAAAATAGTCCTCTCTAGTTCTCTATCAGTTCTCATTCTCAAAATGATTATCGCCTTTAAATCATCAAAACATGTCAGTCATTCCAGATATTCCATTACATCACCCTGTCACAGAGGCCTAGAACACACAGTTTAGGGATGCTGTAGGTGAAATGTCTTCCAATCTGGATCTTGAATCCAGTTTTGGGTCCTGGATTTTGTGATCACTGGTAACTGTTGATGTAAATAATTGACCACCCCATGCAGAGTTAGGCAACCCAAATGTCCATTTTGCCATCTTGGCTGTAAATATGTCTCGGTATTTGCTAATGTGCTAGTATAGGCTACAAAATATAAACGAAAACTCAGACTTCCTTTGCTCTGCTTTAAGCTTTAGCTCACCTATAGCCACTTTTCTCGCATCTCAGGCAGGAAACTTTTCCAAAAGTGGAGTCGTTTCATGTGAAATGTCTCTCAAAGTTCAACGGCTGAAATTAGCTTCTCATTCACCTGATTCTTGTTCGAGTTTTCCCGTTCCCCCTTAAATGAGCCACATGTTTCCGACCCCCGACCTAGTGTCATTCCTATAACCGATTACAGTTTCCAGGACCGGAAACTGGTTTCAAGGTCCAGGTTGGAAGACCTCTGCTCAAGGAAGTTATGGTGTTAAGTGTGGTGCTGTGTGCATGTGTTCTTTCTGTAGCCGGTTACACTTTATGGCTCGTCGTTGCTGAGCAGCCCAGTTCCTGCAGGTCAGCCGCTGGAAGTGGAGGGAGCGTCTCAGCCTGGACTCATCACCAGCTCAGGCCTTGTGCTCTTTGGCTCTGATGGGAAAGCGGTGAGACTCACACTCACGCACACAACAGTAGAAATGATAACAGAAATGATGATAAGAGTGATATGACACAACTGTGAAATGTGATTTGTCAGAGCTCAGAACATTTCGTCAGAACATACTAAGCAAACTCAACACAAGTTTCAGCAGATCACTGTAGCGCTCGTTTGCTGACTAATGCTTGTTTCACACATACTGCGTCTGCATGGCATGAGCAACGGGGAACAGCTTGCTTTTCGTTTCGGCTCTGATGTTAACAGGCCAGGGCTTTCACAAAGTGAGAACAGCTCAGCAGTGCATCCCTGATGAGTCACAGAAGCGATCCAGACTTTAGGTTGCATGCGTCACACAGCAGATACAATGAAATAAGCTAGAAGATCAATGAAAAAGAAATAGAAAACTGAATAAAATATTATGCAAATGAAGATTCTTCAGTTCATGACTGTTATCAAACAAACTACTAGTGGTATATTTCGTGCTGCATACACATTTCCTTGAGTTCTACAGGGCTTTCCCAATCACAAGTCAGAAAGCTGACAAAGGTTAACAAAAATATGAATTCTTTTTAGCTATTTACTTATGTTTATTTGTCCGTTTGGAAAAAGGATGTCTGTGGAACTTGCATGCTGTATCACTCTGCAGGCAGAGCTGTTGCATGCTCCTGCATCAATGATGTCACGCAGAAGTAGTATATGTGAAACAGGCCTAACTTTGTTTGTTAAAGAGTTTTTTGGGGGAAAATGAATAGCTGAGACCACACTTGTTATTAATATATACTTATTTGCTTGTGCAGCTCCAGGTAAAAAGTCTACAGTTTGAAGATGGAAAGATGATTCCAGCTGCAAAGTACTTCTCATCAGGAGATACTACCAGCATAGAGCTCACTGAGGAGGAGAGGAAGATGGCAGAGGAGATCAGGGTGTGTGTGTATGTGTGGCTGCTTCCAAATGACACATGTGATTATACAAGTGTGTTAGAGAGAGATTGTTAACACACAACCATCTGAATATGTTCTTCGTTGTTACAGGTGATCTGGAAGGGCATTCTGAGCAACGTGCCAGTAATTGAGGACACAACTGATTTCTTTAAGTCTGGGGCTGCATCTATGGATGTGGTCAGGTAGGTTTGGTCTTTGACCTAGACTTTTAATCACCTCTAAGTATGTTTTTCAGGAGAAAAACTTCATACCTTCATAAGAAAAATCACGCCTGGATGTTTGTTACCTTTACTACAGTACAACTTACTAATTAGGGACGTTTTGATTTAAAAGAGTGAAAAATGTATTAATTAAAAAGTTTAATTTTTAAAGTCTGAGGCGGGGGGGTCAGATTTTACAGGAGTTTTTCAGACCACATCATACATCTTTATGTGTTAACGTCAAACACAGGCTCAAAAAGAAGGTCTGGCTCGATGAGTGTGTTTACATGCACTTAATAATCCGGTAACTGCAGAAAATCAGATTTTGTCAGTAATTTGATCAATGCGTTTATATGCGCTTGAGTAATCAGATAATAGGAAAACTCCGGGTCTACATGAGTCAGGCAATAATCAGATTTTGTAACGTAAACGTAACATAAACTCAAACTTCATGCTGTGGCTTTTTAAAAAAAGCATTGCGCCACTTTAAATGAAAATATGAACATACGTCATCTAGAAAATAAGGAATATTTAAATCCCTCATTTCGTCAAGCATGTGTTTGGTTTCAGTGTCGCTTCAGAAGTATTTTGCTGCGTCTCGTGGCAACGCTGCTTGCTTATTTCCAGTCTGTTTTCGCTCAGGGAAGGGATCTGAAGCACAGCCAACGTTACAAAATTCTTTCACACATTGCATGCAATTACACATTTACACCAGAGAGGTCTCCAACTTACCAAGTACAGCTTAAAAAATGTATTTCATAACATTACACTGTATTTGGTACTAAAATGCTTAAAAAATGCCATTTAAAAGGAAAAAAAGTATTAGGTAAGTTATATATGGTACAAAACTATGTTTATTCTCTTGTTGGGTGAGGGGGTGGGGTTAGAATGACTATCGCAGGCTAAATCAAACGTCCTCATTGGCTCTTTTTGGGCAGCTCTGGGTTAAATAGTTGCATGCTGGAGCCGTCCATAACATAGATTTCACACTGGCTACCAGTCCATTACAGAATAGACTTTAAGATACTAATACTGGTCTATAAATCACTCAGTGGTGCAGGACCAGCATGTTTATTTCATATTTGGCAGAGATATGAGCCGAGCGGAACTCTCAGATCATTAGGAACTGGTCAGTTAGTCCTGCCGAAGGTGAAGACTAAACATGGAGAAGCAGCGTTTAGCTATTCTGCTGCTCTTTAATAGAACCAGTTAACAGAGAGCATTAGAAGAGCCCAACACTGGACACTTTAAATCCAGGCTCAAAACGTTTGAGCAGCTTTCAGCTCAGTTTAAACACTGTTAGCGTTTCTAGCCCTTTTCCTCTGTAACGGCACTTTTTTAAAATCTTAATCTAACTTTTAGTTTTTAAATGATTATTTAACTATCCTAATTAAAATGTATGTTTTGATTTTTAATTTAATGATCTTCTCATGTATTTATTGTTCTATTCTTGTTTTAATAATGTTTTAATGTAAATGTATTGTTTTAATCTTGTTTAATTCTGCTTTTAATGTTGTTTTTAATTGTTTTTCTATTCGTGTTTCCTTTTTTTTTAAACAACTCTGACCTTGAGTTTTCTCATTTGTAATGCACTTTGAATGCCAGCAGTGTTTGAAAGGTTCTATATAAACAAACTTGCCTTGCTTTGCCTTCATGTGAATCATCTGCATGTTTCTCAGCACTGGAATGGGAAGCACTGCTTTAGGACTTGAATTTCAATGTTTTCATGTTTGTTTGATGCATTGGAGACCAGTCGTTATTAGAGAGAACTGAGCGATGAGGTCGTAATTGATCAGCGTTAACAGTTGATATATGTGTGACAGGCTGATAGAAGAGATCAAGCAGAAGCGTGCAGATATTCAGCTGCAGACTGAGGACGTGTACATGGCCACCTCCTTCCACGAGTTCATCCAGATGTTTGTACGGCGTCTGAGAGGGGAGGACCAGGAGGAGGAGCTGGTCATCAACTATGTTAGTGTCATGCACAAACACAAACAGACCATGCTCACTTTATCCAGGCTTTTAAAGATAATCTCATATTACTGATATCATTGATACTTACATGTTACGTGTTGTGTTATTTGATTTCCCCAGGCAACAAAAGACATTAATAACATGACCCTGAAGATGCCCTATCAGTGTTTCATCAACGGGAAGTTTGAGGATGCAGAAAATGGCAAAACATATGACACTGTCAACCCCACTGATGGCTCTGTAAGTCTCTCACACACATATGCTCCCATGTTCTCATACTGGGTCTGACTTGTGTCTGTGTTTTGGTCCTGTCCTGTAGGTGATCTGTAAGGTTTCATTTGCCTCTGTGGCAGATGTAGATAGAGCAGTGGCTGCAGCTAAAGAGGCCTTTGAGACTGGCCCCTGGGGCAGGATGAACCCTCGCGACCGTGGCAGACTGCTATACAAGTGAGCTCTGGAGTGTGATTGTGCATTTAAAGAAGCAGCACTGCAAATTATGGAAGTCTGTTATCATTTTGCAAATCAAATAAAGTGGCTGTCATTCACTGTTAGCCACCTAAGGGGCCCATATCCTGTATCTTTCATGTATTTTTCTCCCTGATGTCAACTTTTGAGTGACGTTTAAGTGGTTTTGTAACTGTTTTCCTGCAGCTTTTTATCCTTAGAATTAAACAGGCTATTTTTGTTACTGTGCCTTTAAGACTGACCTATGTAAATTACCTCTTTTCTGATTGGTTGCTCTGTATTGTGCTTCGTGCAAAAGCAATCCAAGCTGAAACACTTCTCCTAATTTTAGTGTGAGTGGGCGGAGTTAAAGTGCTGTAGGCTGCATAGGTGGACAAATATGATGTTTTTTTTGTGAAATCACAAAAGCAGTGAATTCAAATTGTGCCATATTTTCCATATATGGACTGGAGAGTAAACATTATGTTTGGAGGCTTAGAATTTTTAAAAAAAATACTTCATACTTTTATTTTTCTCATTTATTATTTATTGGATCTTTTCCCTATTTTTGTTCCTAATTTGGTCGTGTCCAATTCCAGCCATTTGCTAGGTCTCCCCCAGTCGCACAATACTCCCAGTGCTAGTAGGTTGAAGGCTACCACATGCTTCCTCTGAGTCGTGTGAAGCCAGCCACCCCATCTTTTCGAACTGCAGCTAATGCAACAGCTGAACATGCTTGGAGGAGAACACTAACTGCCAGTTCTATTGCATCAGCTAACAGAAGCCTGCGCTTGCTAGCATTGTGCTGAGTGTTTGGGGGAGTGGGAGGGCCATCCTACCCACTCAAAGGCAAGGCACAGCGTGCTGTCTTAGACTCCCAACCTCAGATGGTCAAACTTATTTTTAAACTTTATTTAAGAAGTGAGCAAAGTTTGGTTTTCAGTTATATGGGCCTCTTTACATATTTGTAGCAAATGAAACATATAGCAGTGCAGAGACAGTGGTATTTAAATAAACATGCCTGTCATGCCTATTAATGTGCTATGTCTTTGTGCAGACTGGCTGACCTCATGGAGGAGCATCAAGAGGAGTTGGCTACTATTGAGGCCATAGACTCAGGAGCTGTGTATACACTAGCACTGAAAACTCATGTAGGAATGTCCATACAAACCTTCAGATACTTCGCGGGCTGGTGTGACAAGATCCAGGTGTGTGTTTGAGTGTGTATTGATCTGTGCTTTGTTGTTTATGCCCCAATACCCACCTTATTCCATATCATTGCTCATGTGTAATGTACCCACAGGGCACAACAATACCCATCAACCAGGCCAGACCCAACCGCAACCTGACCTTCACCAAGAAAGAACCACTGGGGTACATCTCTAAGCATATCTGCATGTAATACAAACGCACGGAAGTGTCTATGTGTCACATTTAGGTTTTTTTACTATCTCTGTTACCCTGAACCAGAGTATGTGCTATTGTGATCCCATGGAACTACCCTTTAATGATGCTGGCCTGGAAGAGTGCAGCTTGTTTGGCAGCTGGAAACACACTCGTCCTAAAACCTGCACAGGTAAAGCACCTTCATACAAACACTGAACAGCTCTCTTAGCCATGGACTTTGTCAAAAGCAGTCATAGAAGAGGAAATGAGTAGGTACAACACTTTCTGCTACTCAGGTGACTCCTTTAACAGCACTGAAGTTTGCTGAGTTGACAGTTAAAGCAGGGATTCCTAAAGGTGTCATCAACATCATACCAGGATCAGGTAAGTACCTTACCTCTTATCTGGTCGTCTGTAGGGTTTTCTACTATGTATATAGATAAATGTACAATATTTTATAACATTATTATGATATAAATAACATACGATTCTATGCGTATCTCCACTATGAAAATAACAGTAAGCAGGACTGCTACTCTTACCTCCTTTAATGATGTGGTGATAAAGAAAATGAATCTCTGTCTCTCAGGTGGTCTAGTAGGACAGAGGTTGTCTGATCACCCTGATATTCGTAAACTGGGCTTCACTGGCTCCACCCCCATTGGCAAACAGATTATGAAAAGGTAAATATACCTATATACATATATTTATATACTTATATTTATATACATATAAACATATATATGTACACACACCGACCAGCCGCTTCATTAAGTACACCTCTTTGTTTCTACATTCTTGCCAGATCGTTTTCAGCACTGCAGTGACACTGATGTGGTGGTGGTGTGTTAGTGTGTGTTGCACTGGTATGAGTGGATCAGACACAGCAGTGCTGCTGGAGTTTTTAAACACTGTGTCCACTCACTGTCCACTCTATTAGACACTCCTACCTTGTCATTCCACCTTGTAGATGTAAAGTCAGAGACGATAGCTCATCTGCTGCTGCACAGTTTGTGTTGGTCATCCTCTAGTCCTTCATCAGTGGTCACAGGACACTGCCCACAGGACGCTGTTGGCTGGATATTTTTGGTTGGTGGACTATTCTCAGTCCAGCAGTGACAGTGACAGTGTTACTGCAGTGCTGAGAATTATCCACTACCCAAATAGTACCTGCTCTGTGAGGGTCCATGGGGGTCCTGACCACTGAAGAACAGGGTAAAAGGGGGCTAACACAGTATGCAGAGAAACAGATGGACTACAGTCTGTAACTGTAGAACTACAAAGTGCACCTATATAGTAAGTGGAGCTGATAAAATGGACAATGAGCGTAGAAACGAGGAGGTGGTCATAATGTTATGCCTGATCGGTGTAAGTGTTGTTTATAAGCAAAAACACTGTTGCTAAGATGAATGGTTTTAAACATTGTGCTTGGGTACCTAAGACTTTTGCACAGTACTGTATAGTTCATGGCAGTGTTTACAGACAGTTATTAAAGTGCTTTCTCTTAATGTGATGTGATTTCTTCTTGCAGCTGTGCAGTCAGTAATTTGAAGAAGGTCTCCCTGGAGCTGGGTGGTAAATCCCCTCTCATCATCTTCAGCGACTGTGACATGGACAAGGCTGTGAGGATGGTGAGAGAGGAAACACAGTTTAGATTATTAGTTACTGTGAATGAACAGTTACAGCAGGCTTACCTGTGCATTTGTGTGTGTGTTATAGGGCATGAGCTCTGTATTCTTCAACAAGGGAGAGAACTGCATAGCTGCGGGCAGGCTGTTTGTGGAAGAGTCCATTCATGATGAGTTCATCGCACGAGTGGTAGGTTGAGGCGTTGTGTGAAATGCAAATAAGTTGAGGCAGTATGTGAAATGCCAATGAAAACAAAGCATTTTTGATTTGATCTGTATTTAAACAAAAACAGTCCAAAGACTAGATATTTGATGTTTTATCTTACGAAATTTTTTACGAAGTTTTTGTAAATATATGTTCATTTTAAAGTTGCCTGCAACAAGTTCCAAAAAAGGGTCATTTTAAAACATGGATCATTGTGAAATGTTCAAAAAAACAATCTAAACAGGTGATGCAAACATGCTTGGATATAAAGGAGCATCCAGGAAAGGAGCAAGGATGGGTCGAGGCTCGCCACTTTGCCAAATAATTTGTCAATGAATAATCCAACAATTTACGAAAAATGTTCATCCATCCATCATCTAAACCACTTATCCTTCTGGGTCACGGTGGGGTGCTGGAGCCTATCCCAGCTGTCATTGGGCGGAAGGCAGGATACACCCTGGACAGGTCGCCAGTCCATCACAGGGCAGACAGACAGACATACACATTCACACACACACTCACACCTAGGGGCAATCTAGCATGTCCAATTGGCCTGACTGCATGTTTTTGGACTGTGGGAGGAAACCGGAGTACCCGGAGGAAACCCACGCAGACACGGGGAGAACAGGCAAACTCCACACAGAAATGACCCTGGTCACCCGGCCGGGAATTGAACCCAGGCCATTCTTTATATCAAAGAATACTATATTGGGAGTTTATTAAGGTCTTGTTATTTGCTCAATAAAGCCCAAATTAAACATTTCTAAACAGATTATTGACTGTGCATTAAGCTTTATTCATTATGACCTGTATTAGATGTAAAAATCACTAATAATTGCATGATCAACTGTAATAATGCACAATAAATACGTTGTTAAGACATCATTATGCAAATTATTGAGCATATATTATCAAAATAATTTATATTAGCGAAATAATTTACTAAATCTACATATACTTTATGTAAATTAACATCTTAGTGTATAATTGTCAGAATTTGATTCAAATAGGTTTAAGGTAGTGTTAAGTTTATAGCTTTGTTGCAGTTTAGTACATAAGAAATAATAAGAGTTTAATAATCACTAATACTGAAAGATGTGAATCATGTTCTAATGTGCGGTTTCAGTCATTGAACTTTAATATAGAACACATACTGACATATTAGTGAAGAATTCAATCTTTGTGACAACCAAAATACTAATAAAAAGACATTAAATGTGTGATTAAACTTGTAAATTCGTGTTACATATTGACTTACTGAAAACTTTTCAGCACATAACTTTTCGTATGTAATTAGTAATAACTAAACTGCACTTTGAAATAGGTCTTGAAATATTAGTGACTTATAAAACTTGTAACTTTAAACGTATTAAGTCTACAGCAATCAACTCCAGAAATCACTTGATTCTACCTAAAATCCATAGTAACCAAATGCTCATTTTTACATTTATATGATGTGAATCTCTATGATAATTCATGCTCAATAATTTGCATGACAAGTGCTTAACAAAATGTTTATTGAGCATTATTGCATTTAATAATGTAATTATTAGTGAATTTCACTGCAGACCACCAATTATGAACTAATAAAGTTTATAGTGAATAAACCTTAATTCACAGCAAATACAGCATTTAGAGGTGTCTGATTTGGGCTTTATCAACCAAAGAGCAAGACCTTAATCAGTTCCCAATATGTGTTCCTTAAAATAAAGTGTTACCAAATGTTCCATTTCAGGGACTTTAGGTATTTCATCCTCTGTAGTGCATAATATCATCAAAAGATTAAGGCAAATCTCTCTGCATAAAAGGCAAGGCCAATAACCACAGCTGAATGCCTGTGACCTTCGATCCCAGAGACAGCACTGAATTAAAAAACAGCATGTTGCTGTAATGGATATCACCAAATGGGCTCAGGGATACTGTACTGTGCCCACTGGGAGCCATATGTGAACAACATGCAGAAATGCTGCCAACTTCTCTGGGCTCAAGCTCATCTGAAAGGGTCTGATGCACAGTGTCGATGCGTGTCTGACGAGTCAACCTTTCAGATTGCTTATGGAAATAATGGACGTCCATCCGATTAAGTTCAAAAGCCACAGTCATAGGGCTGTATTAGTGCTCATGGTTTAGGTAACTTGCACATCTGTGGAGGCACAATTAACACTGAAACATCTATATAATTTTTGGAGCAACATATGCTGCCTTTTAGACGCCGTCTTTTTCAGGGACGTCCATGTTTATTTCAACATGACTACCGCATGACAGGCCACTTTCAAAACTGGATCAGTACCTGTCTTCAGTTCCCAAACAATCAGTAAGTGTTGTTAAAAGGAAAAGTGATGTGACACATATGCTACCATACCAGCTTTTTTGGAACATGTTGCAGGCATCAAATTTGAGCATATAATTACAAAAAATAACAACAACAATAATAAACTTCATAATAATGTTTTGTACTGTTTTCAATTTAATACAGTTGAAACAAAATGTACTAATCACTACTTTATATTTTTTTTATTTCATAATATATTTTTATAATATATTAAATTGTCTTCATTTATATTGCTTGTGTATATGAGACGATAAAAGATAAAGGTCTTCAGGTCAGATGTAGTTAAAACTTAAACTCTAATTTAAGATTAATTAATTAATTAGATTAAGTGACCCTTATTAGTCCCACAATGGGGAAATTTCACCTCTGCATTTAACCCATCTGTGCAGTGAAACACCACATACACACTAGTGAATGCACACACACTGTGGGGCAGTGAGCACACTTGCCTGGAGCAGTGGGCAGCCCTATCCACGGCGCCCTGGGAGCAGTTGGGGGTTAGGTGCCTTGCTCTAGGGCAGTCACGTACTGTCAGCTCAGGGGATCAAACCAGTGACCTTCTGGTCACAGGGCTGGTTCCCTAACCTCCAGCCTATGACTGCCCCCAAATGGCCCAAATGTGGAGAAAAAATGTATGGAAAAAAAATATATGAACGTATATTTTTGTGTATTCAAAATTCATGTCAAATACATCCCAATCACTAAAATTTCAGAATATATTAACCGTATATATTTTAACCAAATATATTTTAAAGTACTTTTATTTTACACATGTGAAATGTACCATACAGAAAAAAAGTTTGTAAATGTATGTATCAAAAGTCACTGAATGATATATTCTGTTTACTAAATAAAAAAGCCTTGATCTCAAGACTTTAAACCCATACCTTTCAACAGAGTTTCACAGCTGCAAACCAGACTAATGCTACACTTTTATTCAATCTGATACTGATAATAAAAGATTATTCTGATGAAATATCCATAAATGTAATAAACAGCTAGAATCAAAAAGCACCCTTGTTTACTGAGTCTACTGATGTGCCCAGGTTGAGGAGATTAAGAAGATGAAGATTGGAGATCCTCTGGACCGCTCCACAGACCATGGCCCCCAGAACCATAAGGCCCACCTGGATAAGCTGGTGGAGTACTGTGACATTGGGGTGAAGGAAGGTGCCACATTGGTCTACGGAGGAAAACAGGTTGACCGACCTGGTGAGACCTCATACCCACAACAAATAGATTTTGCAATTCAAAAACCAAATGATGTTTTGATGTGATTGTTGCTCACTGCTCATTAGTTCCACTGAGTGCATTAATATATGCACTCAATAATCCGATCATAATTGGATTTCTGCAGTTATCTGATTATTCAAATTGTCATGCAAACAGCATACCCCGATTTCTAAGATCGGCGTAAGGTCTAGAAATCCGATTAAGAAATATAAAGAGAGCTGGATTTTAGCTCAGTAATCAGATTTCTCAGTGCATGTAAACTCTTACTCTGATTTCTTTCGGATTTCTCAGTCTGTGCTTGTGCGAAAACAGATGGTGGTACCGGAAATTGCCACGAGACACAGCAAAACACTTTTGGAGCGATGCTGAAACCAAATACTTGCGTGATGAAATAAAGGATTTAAATTTTTTATATGGTCTAGAAGATGTATGTTCATATTTTCAGGTAAAGTGAAGCTGTGACATGAAGTTTGATCTTTACGATACCTTTACATCACACCTTTATTGGCTGGTTGCAAAACAGAAATCTGATTACTGCCTGACTCGTAGACCTGGAGTGTCCCATTATCTGATTACTCAAGTGCATGTAAACGCATTGATTGGATTACTGTCAAAATCTGATTTTCTGCAGTTATCGGATTATTAGTGTGATGTAAACGCACTCACTGTTATAAACAGAACTATTGCGACTCTGTACTTATTAATTTCCTCTGAACAAAACACTACAGAACGAAAGGTACCATAATGTCCTCATCACTGTCGATATATTTGTGCAGGATATTTCATGGAGCCCACAGTGTTCACAGATGTAGAGGATCACATGTTCGTTGCTAAGGAGGAATCATTTGGCCCCGTCATGGTGGTGTCCAGATTTAAAGATGGGTAAGTTATGCTTAACGTTCTGGCTTTGTTGAGAAACTGCAAAGGGAAAAATGCAAAAAAAAGACAGTGAAACATGAAGGTTTAGCTGTGTTTCTAACAAAAGCTTCTGAATGGCCATTTAATCTTTCTCAGTGATGTGGATGGAGTGCTAAATAGAGCAAACGACACCGAGTTTGGTCTGGCCTCTGGAGTCTTCACACGGGACATCAACAAAGCCATGTACGTCAGTGAGAGACTGGAGGCTGGAACTGTGTTTGTCAACACATACAACAAGACGGATGTGGCTGCGCCCTTCGGAGGCTTCAAGCAGTCTGGCTTTGGGAAGGACCTTGGTGAGCACCACTTACCACAGATGTTGTGGAAGTCATGTTTGTTGTCCAAACTTGTTTGGAGTTCTTTAGTTTAGTGCTGGAGCTCAGAGGCTAATGTTGCTAACAAACACTAGAAATCTATAGTTACCCAGATCTTTTCTGTAGAAACATCTCCAAAACTTCTCTCAAACCGCATCCAGGTCTTCAATAAGGTTGCACAGACTCATAGATGTGGTTTAGGACACAGTATGACTGTGAGCTATAAAAATTACCAGGTTTCATTGCAGAGCTGAACACATTAGGCAGCCATCAACCTCACTGCTGTGCTTTAGTTACATTTAGGGCATCATATGCCTGCAAAGAGGGGGGATAAGATAATTATTTATTATCACCCACCGCTAATTCTTTGGTGATACGAAGCTGAAGTCAGCTATTCACCAGCTTCTTGTTCAAATGTTCCCGTTCCACCTTAAATTAGCTAGCTAGCTACCGTGACATTAGCATACTTTTATGCTTGTTATGAAGAAAACGACCATAATACATTGAAACAGCATTAAACTAAGATAATACAATGATTATCGTAATTTTTTTAACAGAGAAAATTCTCACATTTGTGGGTTTCTTTGGTCGCTCACGCAGCCATCTTGCCAGTTTTTCTATTTTTTTCTCATATCACTCTCTTTGGAGTGTCCCTCTGAAAAACCTCCGTTTCAAGGGTCATGTAGCCCTAACACTTCACCCTACCCCTCTATCTCAACAAAAATTGGGACACCCTACCCCTAGACGTGAACACGCAAAACAGAGGGCTAAGGGCTAAGTGGTAGGGGCGAGGGGTGAAATGGGACTGTAACTAAATGTCCTTAATGAAGACCTGGATGCGGGTTGAGAGAAACTTTGGGGATCTGTTTATGGAAAAGATTTAGGTGTCCATTGACTTTGTGTTTGTTAGCAATATTAGCCTTGCAGTCTCAGTGCTAAACTGAAGAAGCAAAATTTGGACACCATATATGTCTGATTGACTACATCTGGGTCGGAAATGATCAAATTTGATTATTTGCTGAACTATTGCTTTACCTCTTAGGCCTGCCCAGACAGCAAGCATATATCGGTCCGCTGGTTTGAAAAGGTCAGCATCCCACTGATTGTTTGCCACTGCTGGTCTGCCCTCGGACCACCCAGATTATTGATTATTGTTATGAGTGATGATAAGTGGACTTTTGTCTAATACTCCGCTTAACCACTAGTGGACCGCCCGGAAAATGCTGAGCAAAACGTCAGTGGACCGCCAGCTTTGCCATTAGTGGGCCGACAGTGGACCACTGTCCTCTTGCTATCAGGGCTGGTTCACACATACGGCTTGTGCGTGGCCTGAGCGACGCGGAAAGTCTTGCTTTTCATTTCGGTGCCCATGTTAACTGGTCAGCGGTTCACGCAGGCCGTGAGTCCCAGATGCCAGACTGAAGCAGCGCTGCACCACGCGCACCGTGCAGCAAAATACGCTAAAATAAGCCATGAAAATCAATGAAAATTAAACAGAAAACTGTATAGAAACTTAAAAACTCATTTTGTTATTTAATTCATGACAAAATACTAGTTAAACATTCTGTGCTGCAAACAGATTTCCTGGTTGACCTACCAGGCTTGAAACATTTTCCTAATCACAAGTCAGAATGCTGTCGAGGACAAACAAACATACTGTGCACTTTCATAAATTCTGTTTCAATTGCGCAGAGTCACTGATGTGACCATTAATCTGTCTGGAAAAAGGAATGTCACAAACACTGTATGTATGAAAGGCCAGTGCATTCGAGCTGTAGTGCTCACACTGCTGCATCTCTCACACCATGCAGAGGTAGGATGTGTGAACCAGGCCTTACTTCTAGCATTACAGTTAGTCTATGGGTTCTGATGGGTGGCTGTTTCATTCTTTCATAGGTGAGGAAGCTCTTCATGAGTATCTCCGGACCAAAGCGGTGACGGTGGAGTACTAAGAGAAAACCTGCTGCTGCTACTGGACTTTGGGCTGGACTGCCAAGCAGTGGACGGAACTGCAGCTCGCACGCTTCATCCGCCAACTTGCTTGGGCTTTCGCTCAGAACTGGTTTGATCAGGGGGTTAAAAAAAGCACTCCCTGCCAAGACTTTACTTTCGTGCCTACGTTTTCTATCAGTTTGTCTCCAGAACATGCCTTTCTGCTCGGAGGGGGAAACGTTAGTTTTCCGTGCCAAGGCAGCTCAAAGACATCCAATAGTACCGTGCGAAAAACATGGATCATTGCGGTCTTCATTTTGGCATCAGAACACGGTCATCAACAGGACACTGCCAATACCTGACTGACAACATATTGAAGTAAAAAAGGAAGCTTTCTACCTGTTACATAAATCCATACACAGAACATTCATTCACTTAAAGCATTTTGTCTTAAGATGCTCAAAAGCTATTTTATGTTGCTTGATACTTTAGGAAATGTTATACTGGTATATCACAAAGGTAGGTGATTAATATTCACAGCATTTTAGCGAATCTCATTTGACATTAATATACATGTACATATTTTATAGAGAACAAGATAAATTAAACTTCTATATATTTTTAACTTTGCATTCCACACAGGAAATACAGAATGACTGTAATCAGTAAAATATAAGGATAAGCTGAGAAAGTGTAGCAAAAGGGAAACTGTTAAGATGTGCTTCGGTACATTGGGCAGGACAGTCTTCAGCACGGATCTCTCAAGTCCATTTTCCCCCAAAACTCCTCAGGTTGGATTTGCTGGACACAAATTTAGCCTAATGTTGGACTAAAGGGGTTAATAGGTAGAATTCCACACCGTAAGTCTTTTAATTTGAGTAAACACTTTACTGCAGGAAAGCTTATGAAGCTGTTTAGAATCTTTCTGAATGTTATGTAGTGTGTTATGTGTCCTTTACTCACACAGAAGGACTAAATCATACTGCAAGTTGTTGTACAGTCTTGTGCAAAAGTTTGGTCAGATGACATTTTGTTGATTTTCTAAGCGAAAATAAGTGAACACATCCTCTACAGAGAACACACTTCTGCACATTTTAATACACACTTTCTGTTTATTTGTTAATTTAAGATATTGGAAAATAAAAACATTAAATGTAGCTTGGGCAAAAGTTATGGCACATTTTCTATTTTATGTATTATTTTATGTTGAAATTGTGCACTAAAATATCTAATGCCATACTAAAAACCCATATTTTACTTTGTTCCCTGTAGAAGATGTGTTAACTTACTTAATTTGACCGTTCAAACTTTTGCATACAAATGTATATAACATTCATAAAGGCTTTGGTGAATGACAACATAGGCAATCCAGTGAATCTCACAACATCAACACTTTCTGTCCTTTTTGAACTAGGTAATATGTGGGGGGGGCATTTCACTGACAGTATTTATTTTACCAAGCAGCCAGAACTGTTTCTATCTGCAATAAAATGTGAAGGAGCATGAACAATTTCTACATAAAAATGTGTTTTTTATTTGTGTTTTGCAAAAGGAATTCATGTCAGATCATCTCAGTGTTTTTGATGCCACTCATCACTGCCTTTTAGGGCTGCCATGACTGATTAAAATTGAATATTCAATTAAAAAAATCACAAATTAACATTTACGTTCTTGATTAATCAGCGTTGTGATTAGTTTGCAGTGTGCAAGATAAACAGTGTCCGCAGGTTGTTATAAAGCTGCAGTTAGAAGATCCTCCACAAGTGGGCGATATTCACACTCAAGTCACTTTTGAGTGTTGCTGAAAAAGAGCAAACCCACACTAGAAGGATCTTACTTATGCACATATGTAATTACAATTTTCATGTATGTGAATTAAAAGTAATAGTTTTGTGCTAATAGTGTGTATATGGAGTAAACATGTATATGTATATATGTAGTGAAAGGTTTTGTTAAACAGCGTCTGGACTGGATAGCTTGGCAGACAGCTAATAAGTTATAAATAAATAATAAAATAATAAAAATATTAATAAAATATTCAAAGTAACATTCAAATGAAGGAATATGCCACGTGAAAGTCTATTACAACTTCAAATGTCTGTGTAAAGCTGGTCTAAGTAGTACTACACTCAGTGTTGGAGGTCAAACCACTGTTGGTGCTAACATAACGTTACATGACACTGTAATTCCCATAGAGGAGTAAACTAGCATTATTGTAGCCGTGCTCCTCAGTGCTCAGCATGAAAGCTCCCTCACAGAAAGCAGTTACGTGAGATGGTAATCAATATGCAGCGTGACATTGTTTGGAGATAGTTTTGAGATAAGATGGACTAAAGTGCATGTTTTTATTAATTCATGGTGGAGAGGTACATGTAGGGTGTTGTGAGGCAAAATAGTCCCCTAAAATTAAGATTCTGAAGTGTAGCGAATCTCATTTGACATTAATATACATGTACATATTTTATAGAGAACAAGATAAATTAAGCTTCTATATATTTTTAACTTTGCATTCCACACAGGAAATACAGAATGACTGTAATCAGTAAAATATAAGGATAAGCTGAGAAAGTGTAGCAAAAGGGAAACTGTTTTGAGATAGTTTTGAGATAAGATGGACTAAAGTGTATGTTTTTATTAATTCATAGTGGAGAGGTGCATGTAGGGTGTTGTAACATACATACATACATACATAATCTAAACCACTTATCCTTCTGGGTCACGGTGGGGTGCTGGAGCCTATCCCAGCTGTCATTGGGCGGAAGGCAGGATACACCCTGGACAGGTCGCCAGTCCATCGCAGGGCAGACAGACAGACAGACATACATACACAGTCACACCCACTCACACCTAGGGGCAATTTAGCAAGTCCAATCAGCCTGACTGCACGTCTTTGGACTGTGGGAGGAAACCGGAGTACCCGGAGGAAACCCACGCAGACACGGGGAGAAGACGGCAAACTCCACACAGAAATGACCCTGGTCACCCAGCCAGGAATCGAACCCAGGCCATTCTTGCTGTGAGGCGACAGCACTACCCACTGCGCCACCGTGCCGCCCTTAAGGCAAAATAGTCCCCTAAAATTAAGATTCTGAAGTGTTTTGCAGCTTCCATTTGTGAAAATCAGTTTGTTGCTCCTGAACCAAGTGTGCACATTTCAGCACTGCCCCCAACTTTGACATGCAAAATGTTTCTTTGTTTTAAAGACCAGCCAGTTTCCCAGACATGGAGCAAACCTGGTCTTGGACTAAACTGGACTGCCAATGGAAAATCACCATTGGAAAATCTTTTTTCAGGGAACCTGTCCCAAAGAAACTCTGCTAAAAAAAAAAAAACAGCACAGACCAGCAAGCATTTCATGTTGGTCTAAGCTCGTGTATGCAGCGCAAGGCCAGCACATATTGGTTTTGCATCAACACCAACTCCAGCTGGTTTTTATCTTTTATTATATTATATTTACTTTGGCCACCTATGACCACTGATGTTTGATATGCTAAATTGTTGCAGTGTTTCAGGTTTTGCGTCCTTAGTATCAATCTCTCTCTGCTCCACCAGTTGAAACACCCACTGCTGTGGCTGCCAGTACATCTACAGCCATGTCTGATTTAAAGAACTTCTTCTCTTTTCTCCAGGGTTGCAAGGGCTTTCTCTGGACTCCTTGGTAAACCAAGGTCTGAGTAATTCAATGAAATTAAATAAATAAGGAAGAAGGCAGCACAATCTGTCTTGGCTCTGATAAAAAAGAATTTAATCCAGCATCCAAAACAAATCCAAATAAACCAACATAATACAGCTTTGATGACTATCATCCAACATCAAGACGTCTACTAGAACAATGTCAGCTGAAGTTCCTACATCGTCAGTGTCTCCGTTCAGCTGGAGGAGACCATACGTTATGTTGTCAAATACGACTCGTCCATGCTGGCCCTCTGGGTCGTCCTCACACTGGACGGAAACCTAGAAACGTTACCAGAAGTATTCAGTATATTCAAATGTGCTCAGTAAAATCTGTATGAGAAATGCATTCAATTGCACTTAATCACACTTTCTAATAAAACTGATGACGTACTCGAGGATTATCTGTGTCAGTGGAGGACGGATCGACTGCATCTCTGGTCTCTGGATGGTTCACGCTGTTGTGTTCATTATGGTGCTGAAAAACATCAACAGATATCAAAGGTTTTTCTTAGCAGCATCTTTGCTACTGTTATTGTCCTGGGCCTGAAAAATATTAACAGACATCAAAGAATATAAATGCTGTAAAATACACGCTGTAATAATACATTTTTAGAATGAAATAAATATTATAAATCAAACATATAAATATTGTAGGGTATTTGCCCCAATATATGTACAGAGCATTATGTTTAAGCTAAAGCTATAGGAATATGGCTCTTATTGATGCCAAAGTAAAGACCAAACTAAGTGGCTTAGAAGATGGTGTGTGTGTGTGTGTGTGTGTATGTGTGTGTGTGTGTATTTAAAGCTAAATAAAGTGAATTTAAATGTATTAAAATGTTCAATTAAAGCAGGGGTGTCAAACTCAACCACTAAAAGAGGCATATTAAAAGATCTCAACAAATCCGTGGGCCAGAGAACATCTATGCTTTATTTCATTTTTAATTAACATTTTGCTATAAACCGAAATGATGCAAAATACACAAAAACTTCAGCAGTAAAATACAGGCACTTGTAGTAGACCTTGAAATATTACATAAATACTTAACATATTCAAAATTTAAGGGTCCCTAGGAGCTCAGTCTTTTAAACCTACCTATCTGCTTGAACTAGACCCCTGGCATCCTTTCTTTGCTGCAAGTTCATTAATACTTGGGCTCCATGTCTGAAACGCTGAGCTGACGTTAAGTGTTTATGTTGGTTGAACTGCAGCTGAAATGCAGTGAGTGTGTTTGGTGATGTGACTGGTGTGGAACTGTGTAGAATTGAGGTGTAACCGCTGTCCTATAGGTTGTTATTGGGGTAGGAGAGTCGGAGCACACATTACGTTGCATTGCATGCTGGGTACTGTAGTGCAGTGCATTGTGAAACGGGCTAATATTAATCGAAAATTAAAATACTTTTGCAAGTGGGTTTTTTTTTTGCAGAACACTTCCTTTCATCCTGACAAAAAACTATAAATTGTATAAATTTAGCTTTGCAAAATCTGCATCGCCTTGCAGATTGTCATAACAGCTGCTTTACCTACCTGCACTGCCGTGGAAACTCTATGTCTTTCACAGTGTGTTGAGCTTTGATGACTATCATCTACCATCACGTCTGCCTCCTGAAGAAAGTCTGGTGAGATTCCTTCATCATCAGTGTCTGTGTTCAGCCAGCGGAGACCGTATGATATGTTGTCCATTACAACACATCCATGCTGGCCCTCTGGGTCGTCCTCACACTGGACAGAAACCTAGTAATATAAAAAGTACATTATATTCTATTAAATTATTATATTACAAGAAAGCTGTGTTCAGTTATGCTTAATAAAATCTGTATAAGAAATGTGTTCAACTGCCTGCAGTCAATCATTCTAATAAAACATGTCTAGAATATATATAACCACATATAGTTTGATGTCAGACAATAACATACTCGTGGATTATCTGTGTCAGTGGTGGACAGATTGGCTGTATTTCTGGTCTCTGGATGGTTTACGCTGTTGTTTTCATCATGGTACTGAAAAATATCAACAGACAACAAATTATTTTCTTTTGGAAAAAGCCAAGAAAGATAGAACTAACAGATGAGACAATTATGGATAAGTCACATTAAAAATGAATTATTACTGGCTCATCACAATTTCCATTCATCATTCATTATACTGTGTACACGTTTTGCCCTTTGCCCAAAACGTGGCCCTTATGTATGTAAGGAATCACTGCTGTGTCTTTTTATATGGCCTATAAAACAAATAAGATCCCAGTAGCATAATAAATGACACAAGATCACAACACTGTAAGCCTTTAAATACTGTAAAAAATTTTTTTTACTAAGCAACTACATATCATAAATCAAATATACAACATAAATGTTACTAATCCTATAAGAATGTGGCTCTTATGAAGCCAAAATAAAGACCAAACTATTTAAAGCTAATCAAAATAAGTTTAAAATCTACTGAAATGTAATTCAGTTACATAAGCTGCAAATTAAAAGAACGTTCTATCGTTTTTTTTCACAATCATTTCTTTAATCCTGATAAAAACTCATTATAAATCATCAGCATCGCCAAATCTGCATTGCCTCATTTAAATTATTATTGTAGCTGGTTTACCCACCTGCGCTGCTGCGACATCTCCAGGCGTTTCATGATGCCTAGAGCTTTGATGACTCTCATCCAACATCAAGTCTTCATCTTCAGCAAAGTCACTCAAAAGCCCTTCATCGTCTGTGTCTGTGTTCGGCCAGGGGAGACCGTATGATATGTTGTCAGTTACGACCTGTCCATGCTGGCCGTCTGGGTCGTCCTCACACTGGACAGAAACCTAGTAATATTAAAAGAACACTGTTGTGTTATAAGAAACCTCAAATCAAATCTACAAACACATTTTATAATGAACATGTTCATACACCATAGGGGTGCAAGTACACCCTTAAAAAAAGATGGTTCTTCCAATGTTCTTTAGCAAAGAAAATGGTTCTATATAGAACCTTGAACACTCAAAGAACCTTTTGAGTGTTTAAAGCGTTCTTGAGATCGATGGAGAATATGCTGTAGGTGGTTCTGTACAGAACCTTTTTGAAAATGGTTCTATATAGCATCCAAAAGTGTTCTTCTATTGTTGTGATGTCAAGGTTGTAACAATAGAAGAACCCTTTTGGGTGCTATTTGTACAGAAACCTAGTAACATGAAAGGAACATTGTGAAGTTGTGTTATAAGAAACCTCTGCTCAAATATGTCCAGTAAAACCTGTACAAGAAAAGCATTCAAGTCAAGTCAACAAACACATTTTCTAATAAACATGTTCATATTTAGAATTCAAATATAAATACAATAAGTTTAATATCAGCGGATGACATACTCGAGGATTATCTGTGTCAGTAGAGGACGGATCGACTGCGTTTCTAGTCTGCGGACAGCTCGCACTGTTGTTTTCAACCCAGTTCTGAAAAACATACATCAGGTATTACAGATTTCTCTTAGCACACATAAAAAATCATTTGAAAAAACGTTTAGAAAGATATGACTAAAAGATGAGCCGATTTGAACCAGCTCAATTCAGGGTGGATCACTACTGGCCTGATCATACAATAGAATAAGACTGTTTACACATTTTATCCATCAAAACTTATGAATTATAAACCGGCAAACATTTAGTCAAAAAGTGACTCTTATGTATGCGAGGAATCACTGCTTGCCCTTTTTATGTGACTCACAAAGCGAATAAGCACCTAGCAGTATTAAAAAATAAGATATGACAAACGGGCCCTTGAAAACATGCTAAACAATCAATCTCTAATCAAATATTAAATGGTAAATGTAAAATATATGCTGTATAAATACAGTTTATAATCATAAATACATTAGAAATGAAATATATAACATACATATTATAAAGAATATGCCCATATGTACAGAGCACGAAGCTAAGCTAATGCTTCAGCTCTGTTTTGGCCTACACCGATCTGATATTTGTATATTCACCCGGCCCTACAGGTCCACTGGTCCCACCACTAAGAGGAACTAGCAAGATCATCATTGAAAAATAATGAAAAATAACGTCTTTTTCCCCGTTAATCCATTAATTTGCCTAATATAGCAATGCTGGCTAAAGGCTAGACATTCGGCCTAAAGGCTTAAGTGAAGAACCCACTTCTTAAAAAGTGAAAAACTAATAATTTACAATCAATTCAAACGTTATTGAAACAGATAAAAACTGCTGTTATCTTTTAAAATATACATACCATATTTTCTCAAAAAAAAATTTTCTTTCTTATCGGATGGGAGCGTAAAATCTGAAATGACTCAGAGCAAGGCGGACAAAAGAACGGTTTGACTTCCGGCTTTGCGTGTTTGGCGGCTATTTATTTATTTATTTAATGCATAGCTCATACTGTGCCATTTCACTAACATGTAATGTGTGTAATCAGTGGCTTATAGATGTGTAATTGACATATAGAAACATTTATAGATGTTCAGTTACAAATATACCACTTAAATATAACTGTAGCCAATGGTCTCTCTGATAAACTCTTGTTACACTGTTAGGTTAGGTGTAGCTTTAAGACTAGTCTCCTCAAAGTATCTTCATTATGAAAAGCCAAGTTTTAAAAAAATGTTTTTATTGTGTAAGGGGCAAATGTATGACTTTGTTTCTTCTTTCAATCTCAATACAATGTTATAAACTAGTCAATACAAGTAATAAACCTGCCACATAGCGTAATAAACATGCTTTTAAGCATAAAAACAAATATTGGACCGAATCTGTGACAATAATAATGTAAATTACCTTTTTCTGTTCTTGTTTTTTTGTCCTTCGCTTGCTTCCTTGTTAACTGCACCACAATCCATTTCCATAACCTTGACAATCAGGCATATGGCATGCTGAACTTTTCAAAAGGATTAATCCAGAATTAGAAAGAAACAAAAAAACAAACAAAAAACGAACAAAAACACCAAAACAGTCCAACGTCGCTTCAACTGATGAAAGTGTAACAGAAAATACCAAGAACTTTTCTAATCGCTGACTGGATGCGGTAAACAGAAAGTATAAATGACTATGCTGGTAGAGTCTGACTGGTTCTCTTACCTGTTAGGTAACCTGGTTAGTTTGCAGGTGTGGCCAGAAATGACGCACATTTTCATTTAATTTACCAATTCACATCCGATTCAGTTCACAAACGGAAACTCAAAAATGTAACAGCAGACAAAAATAACAGCAGAAAACCTATCATATTAAGAAGTTTATTACAAAAACTGTGAAACATCTTAATAATAGGCAAATGGTGTGATATGATGGTTACTTAAACATTTAAAGTGTGCGATTCCTGGGGTTCAGATTGCAAATGTGCTGACTTTTAATATCACAGTTACATGTTGTACCATAACTGACTGATTATGACATTTTAACTAAACCTCTGAACACAAAAAGGCCAGTGTTGGCTCCAAGACAGTATATTTGAAATGCTGCAAATCAGTAAATGGCTGCAGATTAGGGCTGTCACAGAAACAAAGTAACCATATATCAAAACATAGTATTGCACATCATAATAAACACATACAAAATCTCCATAGAACAGCAACACACTGCATTTACCATGCTATGTGAAATGCGTCAGTACATCAAACTGAGCAAACATGAGTCCACATGAATAACAATTACCCTCAGTTTCAGGTTAATATTTACATTAGCTCAAACAAGAACTGCTGTCTTAGCAGGGTCACCGTCAGATGCTCTGTGCGAGTGGTGAATATGAGAATGTGAGAATTAAGGCCGCATCAGCACAAAGCGTCTCTCATCTAAAGAGAGAAGTTCCCAGTCTGTGGTTCAGTGGTGTAGAAGCCGTATTCTCTCATTCTCCTTCTCTTTCTAGCACTTGGATGTTGGCCTTTCTCTTTTTATCGCCGGGTAGTTTGAGATTTTCCACAGTCTCTTCATCTGAGCTACTGTCCTCAGATGATTCCTCTTCTTCCTCGCTGCTGTCTGAACCCTCCAGCTCCACCAGAGCAACGTCCTGAAAGAGAGAGAGAGAGCAGATTAGCAGATAAATGCCTGCTACATGAGATGGCTGGTGCCTGAGACAAACAGCAATGAGTTTTACTATTCTAAGGGTCCTGATAATAATTACATTTGTTTGACATAAAACTGATGACAGTAATGGGGGGTGGGAAGCTCTAAAAGCCCCACAATCATTATTATAAATGAGCCATTATACAATTCTAGTGAGATTTTTAAAGCTTTGACATGCCAAGAATTGCAATGTCAATGTGATAAATTGAGATTTATTATTTGCCATCAATAGAAATCTTTCCCCGTTTGATCTAATGATATTTACACTTTATTAATCTCACTTCAGTCTTTTTTGACTGAAGCAAAACAGAACTGTAAAGCAGACACAACATCATACAATCAGAAGATCTCCTCCTAACTGCTGAAACTGAAATTTTACTCATTGGCTCTAAGTCTGTGATTGCAATTTCCACTGACAGTGTGACTGTTAAACCTTTGACAGTAGTGCGTAACTTGGGTGTACTTTTTGATCCTGTCCTTTCTTTCGAACCTCATATTAGCACTTTGGTCAAAACAGCCTTTTTTCCATCTCCGTAATATTGCTCGTCTTTGCCACTGCTCTCCTTGTAAGATATAGAAACTCTGGTTCATGCTTTTATATCATCCCACTTAGACTACTGTAACTCCCTTCTCATTGCTGCATCTTAAGGCTCAGCTTAAAACCTACATTTTTTCTCAGTACTTTCATTCTTCTGCTCACTGAAGGTTTTTTTTGCCCCCGTAAAGCGACCTTGGGTATGAGGAAGGTGCTTTATAAATTTCACTTCTTCTTCTTCTTCTTAATAATAATAATAATAATAATAATAATAATAATAATAATAATAATAATAATAATAATAATAATAATAAGATGATGATGATGATGATGATGGCGGCGGCACGGTGGCGCAGTGGGTAGCGCTGTCGCCTCACAGCAGGAATGGCCTGGGTTCAATTCCCGGCTGGGCGACCAGGGTCATGTCCAAAGACATGCAGTCAGGCTAATTGGACTTGCTAAAATTGCCCCTAGGTGTGAATGTGTATGTCTGTCTGCCCCGCGTGGGACTGGCGACCTGTCCAGGGTGTATCCTGCCTTCCGCCCAATGACTGCTGGGATAGGCTCCAGCAGCCCACCGCGACCCAGAAGGATAAGCAGTTTAGATGATGTATGTATGTATGTATTATTATTATTAATTACATATATATAACATGCTCTTCCCCAGACCGACTTGAAAGGATAGCTGAATATAACATTAGGGGCTGGTTCTCGCACATGTATCACATCTAGCCTTAGTTCTTTTTAGAACTGGCTTGGGTGTCATATGGTCTGGGAAACTGATGCTTTCATTTCACTGAGATGGTCAGTTTCAGGACTGATTGCTGCCAGCCTGTTGAATCTAAACACCATTTAAATGGAACCATTCCAGCAACGTGAAGCAGCCTAAAAGGTCTCCACAAGCAGCACAGTGAGAGCCACTGGAACAGAGGTAAATCTTGGGTGTGTGATTTGTGTGTTTCCCTCATCTTATATAACTTTTTTGAGGATCAGAAACCATTTAATGTGGAAAAATATGCCAAAACAGACAAAATCAGGAGGAGGACAAAAACCTTTTCACAGCCCTGTAGCAGTGGTGTTCCTGTCCACATCCCCATGTATGGGGTGATGGTGTTATCCACTATGCTATCCAGCTACTCACTTCTACTGGCCTGTACCTGTTGGTGGTTTGTGGTTTGCTCAAGTGCACTTTAACATGATGCATTTCAAGACTTTTAGAAGTGTGCAAGCACTCTTTAAGACTGCAGGTGTGCGGATATGTATCTTCTCTATGTGGGACAGCTGGCCATGGAAGTTCTTGCTAGTTTAACTTTCTTCCTCTAAATTTCCAAAATGTTATAACATCACTAATGTGCTGAACTGTGGGTCATATACTTAGTCTAATACTTTAATACCTTCACTGTGAAAAAAAAAAAAAAAATTTTTACTGTCAAAGGACTGTAAAATTTAATTATCAATGCTTATTTTCTTTAAAAAAAAAGAAGGATAAATGCATGTGAATAAACCTTACATATCGCTGCTGTTGGAAGAAAACCTTGTATCTCCAAAACGGTAACTTTACAGGAGAAGGAAAAAACCTACTTTACTTTTAATGGAAGTCAATGGAACCAGACTTCCCAAGTCATTTTGGGTTGTTTCTTTTGGTCCATTCATCATGAAATTTACTGTCAAAAACTGAAAAATGACAAAAATGGAGATACGAGGTTTTGTTCCAACAACAGCGATATACTGTATTTTAGCACTGCTGTTGTTAATTTAGAGAAATAAAATGTAAATTCACAAAAAATGCTCAGCTTTATTTCACAGACATTTGTATTATTTTAATTGTTGTTACGGTTATTATTACGGTAAAATACTGTACGCCACAATATCTGAAGGTTGCATTTCAGAAATTAAAGGAGTGTAGTTTTATAGATTTTTACCATCATTAAGAAAGCATATGTTTACAGTTAATGACTTTTGTCTGGCCCCCTGCTCTTTTTACCTGTTTTTGTTTCTTCTTCTTTTTTTTTTTTTACAGATTTCTTTTTGACAGTGTAGTTCTGGGTTGTACTGATAAAATTCAGTATAACAGTATTTTCCAAATATATCACTGCACCACCTTACAGCATTGTAAGTTAACCAGACAGATGTTTCCAGAAAGGAAACATTTATTTTCATGGATTTTAAACTGTTCTTTCAAAACAACCTGAAGCACACAGTAGATCAAAACATCAGAGTTACTACCAGGTCCTAAATAACATGAGTAACGCACAATAGAATAAAAAATACTAAAACCAAACAGCTTGAAAAAAGGGACACAGCTATTTTATGGGCATTCTACCATGCATGTAATGCTCAGCATCTATAAAATATTCTCCTACAACCATATTACAGTTTCATGAACAGTAATAATTAAATGATAAAATTCCAACACTGAAGCCTCTGTGTTTCGAGTCTGTGTCATCATTTCTTTTCTGCCTATAGACAGTGGATCTCGCTCGACTCACTGTTATGTCTTTTTGAATGTATGTTTGACTATGATGATCATCAAATTATCCTGTTATTTAACAATAACCTAGATAAAAAAAAAAGCTTCACTCCAGTCACGTGAAGAGGTCTCACCATCTCAATGACTTTCTCTGCATCCGCTACGCTCTCAATGTCAAATTGACCTGCAGGAGCCGCCTCCATCTGCTGCTTTAAAGCCTCATTGGCCAGGGCCATCTGAGGTAGGAAACTCTGGAGCCTGTCGAGGACTAACACACATAAATATACACACAAACACACACAGATGTGATTTATATAATGGCTGGTCATGCTAGAACAGTAAACAGGTCAAATATCTTCAAGAACAAAAGCCTGATTCAGTATTACTGAACAAATTCACACAAAGACAAGGAAGACATAGAAGCTTAAAAGGCTGTAGTATGTGTAGTATTGTCAAAAGCCACAAATATCACTACAAAAAGTCAGAGTTTGAGTAAAAGGAGAGTGGCTATTCCGTTAGCTGACTAACTGAAGTACTATCAGATGAAAAAATGTCCTGCTTCTTACAAGGAAATTATACCTACGAGGATCTATGAAGGATGTTCGCCCTTTTTTGCATGCTCTCATTCACACTGTCGTTTATTTAAATAAAATACAATTTATTTTGTAAAACAAATGAACAAAATGGGAATAAATCAAACTTATGCATTAAAAACCACCTAGCTCATATTTAGTTTTGTTATGTGGTGTTCATGTAGAAATTTATGAAACACTGATCAGCGGTGTGTAAAAGCTTGCATTCAACCCTATACTGTAACTTACCCTCAACTCAGTCTGAAATGTAGGATTAAACAGATATTGTGTCTCAAATGCAGTGAAAAATGGGAAGGTACTCACCGCTACTTCGGGGGACCTTTTCAGTGTGCAGTGAATCAGCAGCTTTAGGTTTCAATAAGAGCTTTTCATGGATTCCTGCAAGAAATTCATTGAGAGGGAAGAGGAGGGGAAATGCTTTCATTAAAACCATTATGAGAATTTTTGGATTCTTTTTTTCTGTGACTTTGTCTTGACTAGGATTCACTTGTCCTGAAATGTGCCCTTACATTCAAACTTCAAAACTTATAACTCACAGCAAATGATACTGACAGAGAGCTTCAGCAAGCAGGCTGCCCGAGTTTCTGAATTAGGATGCAGGACATGATGTCCAATTTTCTTTTGTTTCAAACTGAAAACAGACATTTTAAAATAAAAACTGTTTCCTTTAATTTAACTTTTTAAGACCTTTCCATAGAAAAATAAATATCCTGGCATTATTCTTTCTCTTGCAATTCTCTTTGCACCTGGCATAGAATATTTCAATGGCATTCAATACGATTCATTACATTTCATGCAGCAAAATAAGATCCTCTGCTGCTACGAAAGTTTGATTAATTAACAGGCATGAAGACATTTTATTTATTTAGCCGCACAGAACACCAAGCAAGAATAAAATTCTCTCTTTTAATTCTGAAAAAAATGAAAACGGTCATTTGCCCATATGAAAAAGTCATTTTTGTCTTTTTTTTCCTGAGTTATATGAAAATACAACAAAACTGATCAAATAAAAGACAAAAACACTGACCTCAGCAGGCTCTGAATCACTGTATTGCAAATGTTTAAGTTAAAAAAAATCTAGATTTCCCAGTTAGCCCAATAAATTGATCCACAAACAGATAAATAGAAAAAAACAAATCAGATTTACACAAATTTACCTTTACTGTAAATGTAGCCCGGCAAGACATTTGGCCTCATATTATTATAAAAAAGATTATTATATACAACTGTGTACCATACAGTGTCACATAAACATAGTTTATCACTGAACTATCGCTTTAATGCTGTACAGTAGGCCAGTCTGTTGCTTCTTCTTGCATCACTCACTAACGTCATTAACGTTAGTCTTCGCTCTCTGGTTTGTTCAATTCTGCTTTGTAGGTCCAGCATGTGGGTCTACAAGCCACTTAAAGCTTGTTTGGATAACATTAACATACTTCAACAGGGGTGTTCTAACAATTTGTCCAGCCCATCGAGGATGGACACATCATCATTGCATACCGAGCATGCACAGATCATTACTATAGTGCAGTAGCTCGTCTTCTTAAAGGGAAATTCCACCAATTATTTATTTCATTAAATGGCTAAAATGTAAAAAAAAAAAAGTCATTTAAAGTGGTTTGGTGTTAAATGCTCCTTTGCAAAGAAACTTACAGTCAGAATTATTCACAGTGATAGGAACCAGACGTCAGAGATGTTTAATACCTCTTAAACCACCCTCATAGAAAGTTATTACATGAAATGGTTAGATACGCGCTGCCTGATGTCTGACACACTGTTCTATCATAGTTTTGGCTTAAAATGTATCCATCTGCTTCAATTCATTCATGGCAGAGGGACACATTCAGGGTGTTGTGAGGCAAAACAGTCCCTGAAGAAAACAAATTTTTTCATATTTCTGGGTTTTGGATGGTAAATAAATTGGCTATATTTGTGTTATAGGCAAGGTGACCCCTGGTTCCCATCACCACTGTTAAGAGTCTATGATTTTCTCTACAATTAACCATTTCACACCAAACCACTCTGAACGACTCTGTTTACATCTCAACGACTGAACAATACGGAAATTCTGAAAAAATGGTGGAATTCCCCTTTAATGCTAATTCAGCCTTACCTCAAGTCTGTTGACGTAATATTAATATTCACCCCCCTGATAAGGTGACTCAATCTATCAAATAGCTCAATTATTATTTTCATTCTGGTAACATTTTCTAAAAGGGTGATTTGGGATATCAAATTATCCTACATGCACATTTAAATGCTGGCATTCAATAAGGTGGTTTAGGCTTTTAACCTCTCATTCTCCAGGGTATATTTTGTAGTTTCCATCTGAAATTACGTGACCAAATCATAAGGCAAATTATTCAGTAACTTCATGAAATAAATGTAAATTTTTATTTTATTTATTTATTTATTTATTTTTGGTAAAAGCTCCCCTCAAATTAACAGAACATGTGTTTTATGATACACATATTGCTTTATGCTTACAATTTACTGCTGAAAGCCAAAATCTTAGACGCTTTGTATTTTTTATAAAAGTAATTTTTACAGAGCAGATCAACTGAACAGATCTATTTACAGTTTATAGCCCAGATTTGTGGAAAAATGGGTCGACTTTCAGTAGACAAAAATTGTGAATTCAGCTTCTTTTATTATAAGGGTTTAAAATTACATCACCCATCTATTTGACTGGAAAGAAGACAGTTACAGCTCTCATACGACCCCCACCTTCTGAATGAAGCTTATGAAATATGAAAGTTATGAAGGTCCCAAGGAGTTGAAAAGGTTAAAACATCCGACCTACAGTTTTCTGAAAGTAGCTGCCTGTAAATCTGGACATTTCAGTCAGACAGCACAGTTTATCAGAACCAGCACACGACTCAGGTCTGAGCAGTGAAAGCTGTAGAAGCTAAAGCTGCTCCTGTGAGCTCAGCACGGAGTCAGCAGCTCGTTACTGTAAGAGAGATAAAGCACCTTTTCCGTTACCGCACAGCAGCAGATCCCGGGAGGTGCTTTTGGTGTCGTTATTCTTCTTTTGCTCCATCTTCTCGCTCCAACTTCAGCTCGACCGCTGCAGCATGTGTGGTGTGTTTATCCGTGCCAGAACAGCTTCCGTTTCAAAGGTGAAGAAGCGCTGCAGAGGCTCATCCACAGCGTCCTCTAACGGCGGCTTCACGGCCTGAGAATTAAAGGCCGCTGTGTTTTATTACTGTTTGCTGACCTTTTATTTAACTTTATAGTAAACGTGATCATAATAATAGCTGAATTTTGTATGCATACAATAAAATTTGCCAGAAAAATACATTCATTTATGACCCTTGTAGACAGATCTAGACTCTTAAAAAAGGTTCTGTTCTGTTTAGAGCCATAGGTTAGTAGCATTTCATGCCAAATGGTTCTTTGCATGGTGAAATGGTTCCTCAGATTGATGGAGAGGGTGTATTTTTTAAATTTTTTATGATTTTTTAAATCATACTGTACACTCAAGAACAACAATGAAGCAAAATGAGTGATTACATGCAAAAAAAAAAAAGCGAAGGGATGTCAGTTCAGACTGAATCATATTTCCTGATAAATGAAAAAAGCCTAAAGCTATTTTCGATCTTTATCACACTGTAACTAGGATTTTAACCGCAAATGAATTGATTTGAGATGCCCCTTCTTTTATTTTATTTTATTATTACTTTTGTGATACAGGGATCCCCACATGTCTTCCCTCCAAATGTAATTGTCTGACAAAATGTAAAATTTCATTTTAAAAAAGTTTAACATATTATATATTGGACAAAAAAATGACCTGTTTTATGTTTTATTTTTTTCCAAATGTGTTAAACTCAGTAAATAAATAAATACATTTAAAAAAAAAGAAAAAAGAAAAGAAATTATGCAAAAAATCCCATACTTAAGTTTGTTCCTTGTAGAGGATGTGCTAACTTTTCACTTAGAACAACAACAAGACGTAATTTTCTAAATCGCTTAAAACGTTTTGCAATAAAAAAGGCCGACCTCTTCAACTTTTCAAACGCACTTCGTCATATTCTTCATAACTTTCATATTTCATAAGCTACATTCAAAAGGTGGGGGTCGTATGAGAGCTGTAACTGTCTTCTCTCCAGTCAAATAGAAGGGTGATGTAACTTTAAACCCTTATAATAAAAGAAGCTGAAAGTCGACCCATTTCTCCGCAAATCTGGGCTATAAACTATAAACAGATGGCGTCTCTTCAGTGATCTGATCTGTAAAAATTATTTTTATAAAATAATACAAAGTGAATCTAAGATTTTTGGCTTTCAGCAGTAAATTGTAAGCATATAGCAATATGTGTATCATAAAACACATGTTCTGCTAATTTGAGGGGAGCTTTTACAAAATAAATAAATAAATAAAATAAAAATTTACATTTATTTCATGCAGTTACTGAATAATTTGCCTTACGATTCGGTCACGTAAATTCAGATGTTCAAACCAAAATATACCCTGGAGAATAAGAGTCAGTGGTGGATTTTTTTAAGAGTCCAAAGAGACTTTTATTCTAGAAGCGACATCTATGTCTGTTTGTTGCGCTGCGTTTCACAGGCGCTGCTGCAGTGACGTGACCGGACTGCTGGAAGGGGGAAGTCCAGCATCTCCAGCCTTCATCTTTACGGAGAGACAGCTGTGCAGGTAAATGCGCTGTTTTATACAGCCAGCTGTTTGTTATTATCTATGCTGAGGTCACGTATTATGATATATATCAGTGTAGTGTGACGGGACGGTGCTGGTGCCGTAAAGCTGAATGTTTATTTACTGTTCAGTTAAGCTAACAGCAGCTAGCAGACTTCAGCTGCCTGTGTGTTTATTTAGACGTGGAGCGTAGAAGGACCTGTTTTTATTGGTCAGTTTTCTGTTAGTTAGCTCGCTTTGCCTTAGTAAAATACGCTTGAATGCCAAATAAATGCGCTATTTTATGTGTTTTGATAACAGTAGGCTTGGCTTAGAGCTCCTCTCAGTCCTCTTAAAGCATAGCTGCCCACGTTCTGACTCCCAGACAGCTTGTTCGTTTCAGTAAAACAGATAATCCAATGCACTTATTACACCTCACACTATCTCAGTTGAGGAATATCTGATTTTAGTCCCAATGTTTTGATTACAGCCTAGTTAGGACTGAACTGCGCTGCCATTATTATACTGACATTCTTTTAGTCCAGGGCTGACTGGTTAAACTGGTCGCGAACAAAAACTAGAGGATAGTTAGAAGATTCCTGGGCTATTCTGAACTGAATTTCTGAAATTCTGGAGGTTGTTTCGTTTAGGTGGAAGCATACACACACGAACGAACAAACAAATAAACAAACAAACAATATATACACATATACACCCATGCATACTAATACAAGCCCAAACTACTAATGGTTTATACCAGGGGTGTCAAACACAATGAGTAAAAGGGCCATATTAGAAAATCTCAACAAATCTGCAGGCCAGAGGAAAAAAAAAAGTTTTTATTTTGTTTTTAATTATTGTTGTGCTACAACCCGAACTGGACTTTGTTTATTCAAAATTTGCAAAAACAGTAAAATACAGGCACTTGTAGTTGACCTTTAAATATTACATGAATACTTAAAATATTCAAAAATGTAAATGTCCCCAGGAGCTCAGTCTTTTAAACCTACCTGTGTGCTTGAACTAGACCCCTGGCATCCCCCTGGTTCATTAAGACTTGGACTCAGTTTCTGAGCTGCTAGGTGTTTATATTGGTTGAACTGCAGCTGAAATGCAGTTGGTGTGTTTGGTGATATGACTGGTGTGGAACTGTGTAGAAGTGTAGAATTGAGGTGTGACCGCTGTCCCATAGACTGTTGTTGGGGTAGGAGAGTCGGAGCACGTTACGTTGCAGTGCATGCTGGGGACTTTAGTGCAGCCCATTGTGAAACAGGCTAATATTAATAAAAATGAAAATACTTCTGCGGGAATTGTCTCGAGGGCCCGATCTGGCCCGCGGGCCTTGTGTTTGACACATGGGGTTTATGATGACACGTGATGGTTTTGAGCTGGTCAGAGTCCAGATTTAAACCCTATGGAGAGTATTTGTTCTCACATTAAACGCAAACCAGCTTCATAATGTTTTTCAACTGAAGCCATCAGTGCTGAGTGGAACAATATTGACTCTTCTTTCTGTAAACGGCTGTCTGCACGTTTACCCACAAAGCTCCAACCTTTGAAGGCTGATTTTTTTTTTTGCACGGAAGTGAACAGTACTGTTCAAAAATCTTAGGCACCTAAATAACTGTTTCGTTTATGTAGGCAATAGGAGTATTTTTGTTTGGAGAAAACAGCTTGTAACAATAGAATAAATGCAAACAAATTGTAAATGGTAAAAGTAACAAGGGTTTCTTGTTTTAAATAAGTAGTATCTTTTGAACTACATAGAGGAGCAAAGTTTTGGTTCTTCTCAATGCCCTTAGTCTCTTGAATTGGTTAAAATCCACTACCAGCACTCCTGATTTAACTTTCCAGGCTACAATTTTAACTACAGTTAACACCAGGCTGCCACTTGGAGAGGTTTGGAAAAATTTTAAATGAAAAAGTTGACTTAGAAAATCACTGCTTGTCATATTATAGTTATTTTTATTCTAATATTAGTGTTTTTCTGGGCAGATAAATTATTACTTAATTATTATATCAAATTATTTCTCAGTTGCCTGAAACCTTTGCACACTACTGTATGTAGAACTAATCATCCAGCATCAGTAGCGAATGTTCTTGTGGCTGAATACAATCAGATCCTCACAGCAAAGTTCCAACATCTAGTATAAAGCTTTCTCAGAAGAGTAGATTCAGTTACTGTATATAGACATAGTAAATAAGCAGGTAATTGGTGTTCATCTGTGGTGGGGCTGTCTTGCAATAATCCCTCCTCAAGGTGACTCTTAAGTCGTATAGCTGGGCGTGCACGTCTTACTGTGTTATTATAGGCTGTGTTTTTGTGTACATATTGTATCAGATTGCTGAGAGCGCACTGTTTTTCATTTTCTCTCTTCCTTCTCTCCGCCTGTCCCAGGTCAGGGCTTTGTAACCGGACTCAGTATTCATGTGGAGACTGTGGGCTCGGTCCAGCAGTGTTACTGATCCTGGCTCACCCCACCGTGTCAGTACAGAGGGCCATGAGCCCACCCAGGCCCTTCCTGCAGTATGAACCTCCGCACCGTAGGGGGCTCTGTGTTCATCTCCCTGCGCCCTAGTTTGGGTCTTCAGGCTGCGAGTGGTGGTGGCAGCGGAGGAGGCTGGAGCTTTCCCTCTCTAAAGCCTGTTTCTGCTCTACTGCACACCATGGTTCCTCCGGGCTACACCGCCCTGCAGGAGGAGAGGCTGGCCATGGTGGAACTGAGCTCCCCCAAGCTGGAGCCGCACCAGAACGGATTCCACCGAGATCCCAGCCGCCGCCTCTCTGATCGTGCCAGCCGTGCCTCCCTCAGTCTATCGGACGCCGGAGATGGTCGCTACGGAGAGACAGAGCCCATGCTGCCCGATGCCCGGCTGTCGGGCGAGGAGGCTGACGAAGAAGAGGTGAGCGAGGAGGAAGGCCAGAGAGCGACCACCCGGAACTTTCCCAAAGAGTCGCCATTGGCCATGGCACTGCAGATACTGGTGCCCTTCCTGCTGGCCGGGTTCGGTACAGTGTCGGCTGGCATGGTGTTAGACATAGTACAGGTGAGTCCTGCTCATGTTTGTGGCACATGTGGTTTTGAGCCTGATGTTGCAGTGTTACAGAAACATCCTAACTAGACAAAATTTTCTTAAATTATGTCCTAACTTCAAGACAACCCCGGAGCTGCCTTAACTTCTGTTTTAATTGTCAGTTTCTGTCATTTTTAGACAACTTGTACAGGCAGCAAGGTTCACTACTAGCATTTTGCAATATAAGTAAATATAACATCATTACGTTACATTTATTTGTGTTGCAAAATGCTAGCAGTGAACAATGGATGTGGTCAAATAAAGCATTTGAGGAATGGAAACTGAAACTACAGAGCGGCGATGCTCTGATAAACAGCAGGAGGAACTCTCACAATATTTTTAACCTCCAGTTTAGTTTTGTTTTGACCTTCTTTTACGTTTCAGGTGTGCGCGGATTGTT